TGCTCCCATGCATTAGGGTGGGTGTCAAGGTCACCTGAAGGTCAGGTCAGGTCATTGACCCTTGGTGACCTCGGGTGACCTCTGTTCACTTTTCGAGTTTAACATGTTTCTACATGATGTAGGCTAGTTTTTGGAGCTGAATTCGAATTTAGCAACCATTTGAACATTTACGAAGTAGTTTTGATGCCTTCGTAACATGTTACGAAGCTGTCAGAGGCGGTTGACACGTACTACGAATACCCGTCACGACGCCTACTGGTTGACCTGACCTGACCTGACCCGACCTGGTCTAAATGCTTAACCCGCGCACCGACGGGGGTCTGCGCCAACTTCGCACCGACGGGGGGGGGCGGATGACCGCCCCCCCCTGAGATCTCGAGAACGAAGCAAGATAGCGACAAGCGGTAAACGGCATCGGATACGCACGGTCAAGATCTACAATTTTTACTAAGGTTATTTTCAGGTCAGGTCAAAGATGACGTCACAGGGGTCGAAAAAGTCAAAATGGCGGCGCTAGATATGGAGAGAGTTTTTCTCGAATAACTTTCGAATTAGTCAAGATAGGAACAAACTAAGGGCATCATCTTGATCCTCTCGTCAATCTGCATCGAATGATATATATGTTGACCTCGAAAGGTCAAGGTCAAAGGTTGACCTCAGGTCACGTGACCTCGAGGTCATCATGCATATCATTCGATGCGTCTTGATGAGCTGAACACAATGAGACCATCCACGCGGCTGTATCTTGTTCCTGTACGGAGTTATTGGCCAAAAACCTTTGGTGACCTTTGATGACGTCACATGACCTCACAGCTGCCCAACAGCAAAACAGACCTCAAGGTAGTGAAGGTTGATCGTATATAAAGTCATGTATGGTATATGGGGCCATTCCGACCCGTTTTAGTGGTAAAAACAGGGAGTTGATTTTTCCCCCATTGACTTATAATGGGGAGGTCGCGAAATTGACCTGACCTTAGGTCACCGATATCAAAATTTCGAGATATACAAATTGTAGCTACTAATGACCTAATAACATCCTGCGACTTTCAAAGGCCTCCGACATCTACTGTAGCTCTGGCACGGTGACAAAGTTGCAAAAAAGTGACCTGAGGTTGGGTCATTCAAAGTGACCTGGTGACCTGACCTTAAAAGGTAGGAGGTTCAAACTTGCACACCATGTGTAAAATTGATGAGGGAATAGTCGTACCAAAGTTCGCGGCGCTACGCGCCGCGGTTTTCCCGCTATTCGCGAAAAACCTCAGGAGGGCGGATATCCGCCCCCCCCCCCGTCGGTGCGCGGGTTAAAGACATTATCTGTGATCAAAACTAACACGATATTCGTGATCAGCACCCCGAAAACCTCTTAGCAGCCACACTTTACGACTTTCTAATAGGTCCCGATTTTCCCGACTTTGGGTCATTGACCTGACCTGGAGGGTCAACCAATGACCTAGGACCTTAAAATTGGGTATCATCGGCTTCCTCTCGTCACGGGCAACACGCTCGTTTTTTCCGCGAAGCTCTAGCTCGATCAGGGGCCAAACGGCAAGGGGGGGTCCAACCGACCCCCCCCCCCTACACATAAGAAGCTGGCAAACGCCGCACACATGCGAGGGTTATATTTATAAATAGGTATGTATATCTTATCCATGCCGTCACCGAGCAGGCGCAATTGTTGGCAGGTCTTCGAGAGCAGAACCGCGCTACGACAAGTGAGTGGCGCCTAGCCGTTAGCGTAGGTTGGTCGAGTTGTCCTCAGAAAAATGCACAAACATTTTCATATTGTTTATTACCGTGTAAACTGTTAACGATTAACGGACTAAAGTAACTTCCGTTACTTTTGTTGTGAATTAACGGATTATCGTATAACGGAACTAACTTTTTAGTTAACGGATTAACGATTAACGAGTTACGAAACTAACTTTTTGATTAACGATGCCCACCTATGCCTACCACCTTGCGTATCAGGCCTACGGCGCACCCAGCGCTCTCATCACGGATGGTCAGACCATCGCCTCGGCGAGTGGTGTGCAGCAAGGCGATCCCCTAGCCCGCGCCCTGGTGGGGGGGGGGCTATTTTTTGCCCCCCCTCCAGACTTTTCGATATATCTCCAGAACCGCTGCGCCGATCGTCACCAAACTTTCAGTAGCCTCCCGGACATCAATTTTACACATTATGACCAAAAATTTTTCCAAAGGCTATGATAGGTTGGCCGGAAATGACGTCAGGGTGACGTCATGTTCTGCCGTTTTCGACCCAAAAAAGGGTTTCGCGGGAAGAGCTGTCAGGCCTATAGCTTTGCAAATACAGAAAAACGATAAAGATATAAAAGCTGTAGAATTGACAGGGCTACAAAACTGCTATCTCGGATTTTTAAATTTTTTGGATTTTGACCCCCAAAAATAAAAAAATAGATTTTTTGATTATAATAGCCGAAAAATCCAAAAAGTTTTTTGAATTTCGAAAAAACCGGAATATATGTGATAGTCCTTACCGCCTTCTATCTACATACCAAATTTGAGATCGATACCTCTTTTTTTGGCCAAGTTACAGCGAAAAAACTGTTCAAAATTGATGACGTCAAATTTTCAAACTCAATTTTTTGCAATTCTAGACCTCGTAGCGCAAAACAAAGACCACCATTAGACTCCCCGTGACGAGCTGCATCGAATCAATACCCATTTTATGCAAAAATATCAACTTTGAAATTTGACCTTTTTTGACCTGACCTTGACCTGACCTCCACCAGAAAGTGACCTAAGCCGTACCTGATAGTCTTATAACCAACACCATTGAGTTGGAAATGAAAAATTGGCCATAAAACATGTATCACACAACCTTAGTAATGTTGGGCTCATGTGACCTGACCTGTGACCCTTGGTGACCTGACCTGTGACCTGACCTGGTAATGTCAGTGACCTCTTATAGCAATATATGTACTAGGCAACTGACGCCCTATCGCTGATTCTCGACAAAATGCGTTTTCTTCGGTGTTATAGCGCATTCCCTAGATGACCCGTGAACGGTGAAACATTTCATCTTTGACCTGACCTGTGACGTCATCGGTGACCCCGAGGTCAATGAAGTTTGGTTTCCCTCAACAAATTTGACAGGCCTTTCGAACGCCGTTTGAATTTTGCGGATCCGTCCAGTAGTTTCGGAGATACGAGGGGGGGCAAAAAATAGCCCCCCCCCCCCACCAGGTCGCGTTATAAACAGACCCCACCAGGGCGCGGGCTAGGGCCTGTTGCCTTTGCTCTCGCCATAGACTCCTGGCTCCTGCGCCAGGGCTGTGAGAGCGCCTCTGAATGTCTGGTACCTTGATGATGGTACGATCGCCGGCCCTTCCGACACAGTCGCCACTGACCTGGCAGCCCTTCGCTTAGCCATGTCAGCAGTTGGCCTCAGTCTGAGCGCTGACAAGTGCGAAGTCGCCTTTTTCGGCGCACCGGACTCAGATCTCCGTAGTCCCGCTATAAGCGCCATCAGAGCCGCTCTGCCGGACGTCAAGGAGACCCCGCTCGACAATCTCTTTCTGCTGGGGTCTCCTCATACAGACGGTGGAATCGTGGCAGCTGGAGAGGCCACTTCAGCATTGGTGCGAAGACTCTGTAACCGGGTGCGGGGACTGGACAGCCACACGGCTGTCTTCTTTCTCGCACATTACGTGTATGTGTCGGCTCCAAGACTAACATACCTACTACGTTCTGCACCAGCCTTCAAGGCAGAACGCGCGCTTTCAGACACGGACGAAGCTGTTAGAAGCTACCTCGAAGCCGTCTCACACGTCATCATCAGCCCGGAGGCGTGGGAACAGGCATCCCTTCCAATTCAACTTGGCGGGCTTGGCGTTCGAACAGTGAAGGAGTTGGCCTTGCCTGCCTACATCGCATCACTGCATGCAACGCTCCCATTGTTAAACTTGATCTGTCCACGGGCGTCTGATGATGAACTCCCGACTGCCCTGAAGATGGCAGTCAGCGCTTTCAGACAGAAAACTGGTCTGACCGTGTCTTCAGAGGACAGACTGCCAACTGGAGACATCGCTAAGTCTCAGAGAGCCTGGGACACTCTAGCCGCGACACTCGACAGTCATCAGAGACCGTCTGCTGTGCTCCGCCAACCACGTCCATCGCGCGCGCCTCCTCGCCGCCGGTGATCCCCACACGGCCGCCTGGATACAGGCTATACCAGTGCCCGCGCTTGGTCTCCACCTGGACGACGAGACTGTCCGCATTGCCATCGCTTTGAGGCTCGGTGCACCGATATGTGAGCCGCACCGCTGTCGCTTATGCCATCGACAAGTAAGCGAACTCGGCCTCCACGGACTTTCGTGCCCGAAGAGTGCCGGCCGGCAATCGCGGCATAGCCACCTAAACGACGTCGTGCGTCGCAGTCTAACCAGCGTGCAGGCTTCCCGGCCGTTCTAGAGCCGGCTGGACTAGACAGGGGCGACGGGAGACGTCCAGACGGCCTGACGATCTTTCCGTTTCGGGATGGAAAGTGCCTCACATGGGACGTGACGTGTGTGGACACCTAACTATGCGGACAACGTCCTAGTCAAGTCAGCTTAGAATCTGGACACGGCAGCGCGCCAGGCAGAAGAAAGAGAAAGACAGCGCTACGCAGAACTAACTCGTCGCTACCTGTTCCAGCCGGTGGCATTGGAAACCAGTGGCGTTTGCGGACCAGCAGCCGCTGCGTTCATCCAAGACCTGGGTCGGCGCATATATGCACCTGCACTGGCGACCGGCGTGAGACGGCGTGGCTGAGGCAAAAACCAACCCGTTGTCTTGAGTTAATAGCCTCATCGGCTTCAGGCTGCCTTCAGTTTATGCCTGCAGGCTCCGCAGAGCCTGGGCTTGGTCGTTTTGGGCAATCAACCGACTCAACAAAAACTGACAGAATACCGCGTTATGCCGTAGTGCCGGCCCCGAACCGTTACGCTACAGCTCCGAAAGGCTGCTTTCCCGCGGAGTGGGCCGGGCCGAGTGGCCGGCCGGACAGCGCCAGTGTGCCGCTGGTGCCGGAGCGATCACTACCTCCCGATGGAGCTCAGTGTGGCGCTGGTGCGTCGGGTGCGGGCCGCGCACACCACCGTGCTGCTTCTCATCATGGGACTGGTCGGCATCGGGTGAGCAGATCAGCCGCACACTCATGTTCTGCATGTTGATTCTGTTAATTTTGACGATCGGCCCAGTAGTTTTGGAGTAGGGGGGCTATGAAGAGCCCCCCCCCCCAGTGGGGCGTGTTATACGCAGACCCTAGTGGGGCGAGGGTTAACTCGCGCACCGACGGGGGTCTGCGCCAACTTCGTACCGACGGGGGGGGGCGGATGACCGCCCCCTGAGATCTCGAGAACTAAGCAAGATAGCGACACGCGGTAAACGGCATTAGCACGTGCTCGGCGATCGGTGGTACGAGTAACCATCATATACCAATTTTCTTTTGGCGCGACTCGGTCTCGACTCCTTTCACGCCCTCTGTCGATCAGCGTCCTGCATGGGGTCAGTGCCGTGATTTCTTGCTGAAAGACGAGACGGACTGATGAAAGGAGGAGACAATGGGTTTGGAGGGAAGATAATGTAATAGTGGGGGAGTGGGGAGGAGGTGGGGAAAGATGGTCCCTCTGTGATGGTTTGTCAGCAAAGGGAAGGGTGCAGTTCGTGGGGCGCCGCCGCCTGTAGTCACTTCCACGTCAGTGCAATGTCTGGCCGGCCGCTAGGTGTCACTGGGTGTTTCATATGAGTCATGGGTTCACACAATGCCGCCGCCGAGTACGTACGGGCGTTTGCGGCGCCGATGTGTGTATGGCTGTGGGCCTCGCCGTTCTAATGAATCTTACAGTCTCATCCGATCCAGTAAGGTGCCATTAGCACGTGCTCGGCGATCGGTGGTACGAGTAACCATCATATACCAATTTTCTTTTGGCGCGACTCGGTCTCGACTCCTTTCACGCCCTCTGTCGATCAGCGTCCTGCATGGGGTCAGTGCCGTGATTTCTTGCTGAAAGACGCCAAAGAAATTGCCAAATGTATGGGAAAATTAGGCCGTAGAGGTCGCGATCGCCATTCGCCGGGACACCACGCAGGTCGGCATGGGGTACGCACGGACAAGGTCTACAATTTTTTACTAAGGTCATTTTCAGTTCAGGTCAAAGATGACGTCACAGGGGTCAAAAAAGTCAAAATGGCGGCGCTAGATATGGATAGAGTTTTTCTCGAATAACTTTCGAACTTGTCAAGATAGGAACAAACTAAGGGCGTCATCGCGATCCTCTCGTCAATCCGCATCGAATGATATATACCTATACCTATATGTTGACCTCGAAAGGTCAAAGTCAAAGGTTGACCTCAGGTCACGTGACCTCGAGGTCATCATGTATACCATTCGATGTGCCTTGACGAGCTGAACACAATGAGACCATCCGCGCGGCTGTAAATTGTTCCTGTACGGAGTTATTGGCAAAACACCTTTGGTCACCTTTGATGACGTCACATGACCTTACAGCTGCCCAAACGAAAAAAGGACCTCAAGGTAGTGAAGGTTGATCGTATATAAAGTCCTGTATGGTTTATGGGGCCATTCCGACCCGTTTTAGTGGTAAAAACGGAGTTGATTTTTCCCCCATTGACTTATAATGGGGAGGTCGAGAAATTGACCTGACCTCTTAGGTCATCGATATCAAAATTCCGAGATAAACAAATTGTAGCTTCTAATGACCTTATAACATCCTACGACTTTCAAAGGCCTCCGGCATCTACTGTAGCTCTGGAACGGTGACAAAGTTGCAAAAAAGTGGCTTGAGGTTGGGTCATTCAAAGTGACCTGGTGACCTGACCTTAAAAGTTAGGAGGTTTAAACTTGCACACCATGTGTAAAATTGATGAGAGAATAGTCGTGCCGAGTTTTGCGGCGCTACGTGCTGCAGTTTTTCCGCTATCTACGAAAAAAACCTCAGGGGGGGGGGGCGGATATCCGCCCCCCGTCGGTGCGCGGGTTAAGGGGCGCTCGGGAAGGCCTGATCGTTCCTGAACCCAGCCTGGTGCAGTGAAGCTCCGGTATATTGAAACACGTTCTGTAGGTATGGTTTCGACGGTTATTTGCTGTCCTCGCCAATTTCTAAGCAAACCGTTTCGATAAAACGCGATGTCGTTTGGTTGGCTTGAATGTAATTGCTTCTCTCAGTCTCTAAATCACGATAAATTCGATAAATAATTTGTTGGATAGTTTATGTCAGTTTCCAGAACCACAGCCCAATGCATGACGCGCTGCACGAGAATAAACTATCTGTTGTAGGTAGACCTGTTTGAATAACACTCCAAATAACTTTTCAGCACTCTGCTTCAATCAGTTGACGTCCTACGTCGAACTGAAAACTACACGGGCTCAAGCAATCAACTGCGGAGCTGCTATCGTGATCTGGGGCGTGCTTACCACCGGCTGAGACCTCGCGACTCCAGTCCGGAAGGCGAGGCGTTCCGGACGCGCCACTGGTGGCTGATGGCTGCCCTTGTCCGCGCGCTGGACAAGCTGGAAGTACCCCACTGGCTGGGCAGCGGCTCCCTCTTAGGTACACATATTGTAATTACGTGGATGCATTTGATTTTACCAGTTGGCTGCTCTTAAAGGGACCCTCCCACCTTAACATTAGTTTTGAGTTGAGATAGCCAAGTTTGCGGCCAGGCTCAGAAACCATCATTTATCCTGGTCGCAACCCCCGCAGCTTTATGGTGTTCAAGAAATTTCTTCCCTTTACTTGTAGGGTGGGACCAGCGTGGTCCCTATCTCTTAACCATTACAGGAATCTGATGACGTCATCAGGCTTTCGAACGTCCGTTAAATGTTTGACTAAAACGTTTTGTAGCACGCGGTGTTATATGCTGCTTTGCGCGCAACAAATGCCGCACTTTCAAAAAAAGTCGCTAGGAACAGCGGAGATCCCAAAAAGTAAACAAAAGTAAAAGTCTAATATCTTGAAAACCGGTGAATATTTTTTGATGAAATTTGGTAGATATTCGTTTTTGCTCTTTCTGAACCGAGCGACATCACTTTCATGCCAATTCATTAACTTTTTTGAAGGTGGGAGGGTCCCTTTAATACATTTCTAATTTTCTACAGCGAAGATCGGGACGATTTTCTTTGGGTACACAATTGCTTTCCGAAGTGCCGATTTAAAGGCAGAATGTGACCTTCTTTAATCTTTATCAAGTCAGTTGAGGACCAAACCAAGTAATGTACAATATGAGCCCCTTAGATCTGTTTGGTAAAGCTGCCGAATAAAATGAAGCTGTAAGTTGTAACTGTATGCCAACGGTCGAGTTATTTACAGCCTGAAGCTCATAGCCGATGTTTAAATGAGGCCATCGAAAAATGTTGGTGACTGCAAACTTTGTACCAGTTTGCACCAGCTAGCACTGCTAGCTGGTGTAACATTATGACCGTGGTCAATGTGTTTACACCCGTTTACAGCACACCTCTCGGCTCTCCGCCGCCCCTCAAGCTACCTAACTGCGTATTGCTTACCCTGTGCTCCTTGTGGCAGGGTTCTTCCGTCAGTGCGAGCTGGTGCCGGCCATGGGGGACGTGGACCTGGAGGTGGCCATCGAGGCGCTGTGGGAGCGCAACATCACCGTCCCGCAACTGGTGGAGGCGGCCAGCGCCGAGGGCGCCCAGCTCCGGCACCAGTTCGGCCTACCAGAGGACAGTCTGGAGCTGTCGTTCGGTGACGGTAACGGCACGCGGCTCGATGTGTTCTTCTCCTACCCGCAGGCCAACGGCACGCGCTACATCGGCGGCATCGACACCGACACGCTGCAGAAATACAAGTAAGTCGTATTGAAGTGTTGTTCGGCATGACTCATTGTTGTATTAGCCATTTCCCCTAGTCAGGACGGGTTATCTGGCGGAATGCACCAAACTTGACCTAATCTCTTTTACAAAGATTATCTTCATATCACAAACTTATTTCAGTGTTTTAATCGAAAATTATGTCTCATAATTTGGAAAATCAGGTATATAAGCAATTTTTCAACCCAAGCTGGTAACTTCTAAGGAGCAATCAACTTAATTTCACCAAATCTGCACCAAATGTGAACTAAATGTGTATCAGATAGCGGTTGTGAAAACGGCTAATATTTACCAAATTTATGACAAATTGTCTCCTGGATCGCCGAACCGATAGTCTATTATACCGTGTGGTGACCGCGGCTCTTTCTAACCGTATGGTTTATCTGACCGCGGGTCTGTCTAACCGTATGGCTTATCTGACCGCTGTTCTGTCTGACCGTGTGATATGTCTGACCAGTAAATCGTCGGCTCGTGTCCCTTCTCCCTCAGATGGTCGTACCCGGACTTTGAGCTCTGCTGGGCTCTGCTGGACGTACTGAGGGTCGGCGTGCCCTGTGAACCCTCCGTCTACCTGCGAACCTTCTACGGGCCCGACTGGGCGTCACCTCCGCCCGAGGGCCCGTGGAACTACCGTACCGGACACCCAAACGTGGTCGAAAATGGCCGCTGGCCGGAAAGCATGAGGGCCGAAGTGTTTCAGACTTTCAACGACGTTCAAAGACGTTCAAGACGTTGATGTGATAGTTTAGGTACACACATGCTATTTATTTTGTATAATATCGGCAAAGCCATCTGACCACTTGTTTAACTTTCATCATTCACCATGCTCATCGAACTGATATTTCAGGAGTTTGCTGGGTGTGAACACAGACCGTACCAGTCAAAGGATAGGACTAGTTTGCAAGGAAAAACGTCATTTCTTCGTGCATTGCTGAGGTCATTTTCTGCTTTTGTGCTTCCCTTTCGTATCTTATGTGTGTTATTTTATGTGAGCGACTTTGTCCGGCCGTCGGCTGTGCATTGCTATACCTCGGCTGAGGCTCGGGCCTCTGTATGGCGGCACAGCCTACCAAGCTGCAGGGTGGGCCCGTGTTGCTTGACTCGTTAATGAGTACTTTGAACAATAAACAAATGTAAATGAAAGATTTCTACGCCTGTGGAACTGTTGCGCCTATGGTATAAGATTACATACCTAATGGTGATTATGTGAAAAGATACCTACACACGTGCAGGGCTCGTCTATACTGCGTGGTAGAAAGGTACTTTTTTATAAAACCGAAAATAACTTGAAGACTGTTATCACTCACTTGCAAAATTATAACACCAAGACTCGCGTATGTAGAAGATATTCGTCCAAATTTTTACCGAAGCTCGAGTCGATCATAGAGATCTTATAGAGATGCCCTGGTACTAAAAAACCTAACGTTTCTTGGGCGTTTCCTAAGCAAGAAATTACGCTTTTTGAATATCGTGATTTGTGTTTTTACCCTCTTCTTAAAAGAAAATAAATGATAATAATTCGTATTTCTTGATTACATATATGAAGTGTATGAAAAAAGGATCACATCAGTCCACTATAAGCGCTTTTGTTGTGATGATTTCTTATTTTTTTGGGACACGTCGGACACATCCCAGGATATGTGGATTGGAATTGAAGTTGACGTTGGGATAGCATTGAAGTAGCGCTGTATGTTCCTAAGTTCGTTGCTTGATTTTTATATTCGGCTCCCGGTACTCGGGTGTGTTCATAGGTTTTCAGGTGAAATTTACCGTTGATTAACCCGGTCGGGCCCGGGGGTAATCCCAACCACCGCAGCCGGGGGGGGGGGCGTATTTCGCCCCCTGTCTAACTCCGTAAATAAGGGAGCAACGGAAACAAAAGCGGTCTTAAAAGAAAGGTCCTTACGAGACGATGCAAAACACCTAAAATTGTTGACATCATGGCAATTTTCGAGGTCAGAGATCAAGGTAAAAGGCAAAACCGTAGAGAGGTCAAAACGAGATCAAAACCGTAGGCAATACGTAGAGATCTCAAATTAACCCACGCCGTGCTGGGGGCATTTTTACGCCCCCCCCCCCCTCAGGTTTTTCGCGAATATCTCGAAAACGGCGGCGCGCATCGCCGCCGTTTTAGGTACACCTGTTCATACATCATTTCCGCACATGTGAATATTTCAGACCCGGGTCGTTCAAGGTCAGGTCACCAGGTCACGTCAAGTGACCTTACCTCAGAAAAAGTTGAAAGGCTCGCTATAGCTACATCGACTGAACAATCACTTTGAAACTTTCAGCGATTATATGAGTAACAGTATGTATAAAATGTATATCTCGGATTTTTGATATCTGTGACCTAAGATCAGGTCAATTTTGCGACCTCTTTACTATAAAGTCAATGGGAGAAAATTGAAATGCGCATGTTTTGGACGAATGTCGTTCAAAACGCTCTCAAACATCAGTTCATTGGTAAACATGACACACTGAATCCGAAAATGCACCTGTGACCCCTCTGTATGCCCCTGAGGTAACTAAACCTATGGTCATGAACGGTCGCCAGCAGTTTTTTTTTTTTGCTATAACTTTAGAAAGAGACGTGCTAGAGCAGTGACAACACGTCAGATGTATTCAGCACGACGATACGGATCGACTGATATGCAACATGACACTTTTCGGTCAGACTTTGACCTGAGGTCAAATTTTTGAAATGACCTTTCAAGGTCACCTTGAAAGGTCATTTCACAAGTTCAACAAGTTCAAAGTCAACAAGTTCATTCGACGCGTCTTGACGAGAGGAACACGAAGCTGGCAAAAGTAATGTCGTGGGTCTCTTGAATCAAAAGTTATTGCCGAAAAAAGCATTTTTTTTTCGGGAAAACGGCTATTTTTAACAGTTTTGCCCTCTGGAGGCTAAACCGTTGACCTGAGATCAAATCGGAAACACTCTTAAGAAAGGTCTATAAAAGGGCTATCGAATACACTTTTCCACGGCGCTGTAGCTCTATTGTTTTCCGAGTTAGCCGTTGGCAGTTCCCAAAACTATTGAAATAGACTAAATTTGACCTTCGATGACCTTCTGGGGACCAGATCTTTGACCTGACCTTAAAAATAACCAGTGTTTGTTTCCTTATTTTTGACGCTCTTTCGATTGTCGCTTACCGCGTGTCGCTACGTGGCCCAGGAGCCGAGTCAGACGGGGGGGGGGGCGTTTTCACGCCCCCCCCCCCCAGCACTCGGCGGAAAGTTCAGGCCACTAGCACGGCTCGGGTTAACCCGCGTCCCGTAGGGGAGCCGAAACGCCCCCCCCCCCCGTCCTTTTCCGTCGATATCTCCGAAACGGCTGGGGATATCGCCACCAATCTTTCAGGACCCCTCCGGGCATCAATTTTACACATTGTGACAAAAAACGTTTTCAGAGGCTATGATAGGTTGGCCACAAATGACGTCAGAATGACGTCATGTTCTGTCATTTTCGACCGAAAAAAGACCTTCGCGAGAAGAGCTGTCAGGCCTACAGCTTTGAAGATACAGAAAAATGACCTGGGCCACTTGAGCTGACCTCATAGGTCACCGGTTGACCTGAGACCTTAGAATTGAGTACCAATCGCTGCCTCTCGTAACGGCGCACACGTTGGTTTTTCCGCGAGGTTCAAAGCTGAAAGCAAAGCTCAAAGCTCAAAGGTCTATCTTCAACAGGAACGAAATGGCGTGGGGGTGGCAACCCCCCCCCCCCCTCCCCCATGTGTGTGTGTGGGGGGGGTCATTTCCCCCATGTGTGGAAAATGACATGTGCAGGCGAGGGTTAATTGAAGTTGAAGTTGAAGCTGTCCATGGAAAGAGGCCCCTTTCAAAGGGTCTGTGACTTCCTCACTTCACATTTACTTTTCCTTCACGATATTCCTTCTTTAGATGTTTTTGAACTTAGTGACTGGTTTTGACGACACATCAAGCAAGCTTATTCATTGCTTGAACTGTTTTGTTGCCCAAAGCTGGTTCTTTCTTTCAAAAGCGATTTCTTTCTAGAATCCATTGAGGGTTGGGGCAGTAACCACTCTTTCTGGAAGAGGATTCCAGTCCCTAAAAGCCATCAGCGTCAGTTACGTCTTTCTCTGGTTACAGCCTTTTCCTTGCATATTCGAAGGCTGTGCCCTCTGGTCTCTTATCTTGACCTGAATGGCTGAAGCGGTTGGTTGGGCCCATTTTCTTAGACATCATCTTATACATTGTTATCATATCACCTTGGCGCCTCCGGTGAATCAGTGTTAACCATGATGTCATTCGTACCTAAGAGAGCAAATAGTAAGTAAATATATCAAAAAAGACAATTACATAACAGCTGACCGGTTTTGTCTAAAACGACTTCTTCGGCGCTTAAAAAAGAGCGCTGAAGAAGTTTGTTTAGACGAAACCGGTCCGGTTTTAAATAATTGTCTCTTTTAATATATTAATTTACTACTTGCGGTATGTTCTGCTTCTGAAGCTTAGGAACGCTTAGCCAGACTACAATGAAACTTTGAATGTAGCTTACATGTATCGTCACCCTTGCAGCTGCAAGTCTATCTATTGACGTCTTCTATTCGATCACTCCGCATTTATAAGTCGTCAGTCAAAGCCATCCGTTGAGATTGGTAAAACCGCACATTACTTCAGCTGTGGGCTGTATCTACACTCGTCAAATATATCTGCATGTCATCAATCTATGTTTTTACTTTCTTCTCGAGGCAGTCTGTGTTCAAGAGCCTCACGAGCTACCTGCGCTCAAAAAAGTTACTTAAAAAACGCCCAAGAAACGGTGCGAAACTGAGTGTTTTAACATTGTATGGGCATCTCTATATTATAAGATCTCTATGGAGTCGAATCATGCCCTATGGTTATGTGAAGGTAAATTATACAATTAGGCTCAAACCATCACACCCATGCACGTGAAGAGCTCACATGAAAAATGAAATGTTATGTTGAGCATCCTATCGCACCTGACCATCAATGCTGTCCTAAAGGCAGATATTGGCAAAGTCCGCCCGTCGCTCTCTTATGTGCTAACACAGGACACACGATGCTAATACCACGCTGACCGGCGACTGATAAATAAATGCTCTGCCCAACAAGTTAGCGCAGAGCCGAGGCTGTCATTCAGGCGTTACGTGTACCGCGTGATGACGGAGTGGTCCCAGTAGCACCAGCCCCGAGCGGACTGCATGCGAACGGTGACCAACCCGGGGCGTCCCGAAAACATCCATTACCGAACCGGCGTGACTGGGAGCGATTATCCACCGACCGCCGAGCCCCGAGGACAGCTCTCTGCAGTGTGATTGATCTGCCGGCGGGCGTATAAGGCACGGCCGCGACGATGAAGGCGCGTCATTCGGTGGTTGACAGCCCGGCGGGCTGACGTCCATCACGATCACTCGGTGTGAGAAAAACTGCCCTTGATAATCTCCAACCAACTTCATGCATGATTTGGGACGATTTGTCGGGAACCATGCTTCTCTAAATATGGCGATGTCGCTCAAAACTTTCCACTCCATTTTTTATTTATTGCTTCTCAGTTTATTTCTCCCTAATCAATCGTCCGCGGATCTCCTTTCGGAAGAACCTGGTCGTTCTGCTAATCTAACCGCGCCACCGAGCAGCTTAGATGGGCAGGGGTTGCCGTTGTCCATTTATCTGACAATTCTCCGGCAACTGCGGGTGGGAGGTCTCTTGGCCAGTGAGGACGGTCTAGGCATCACTCTCTGCGGTCAGTTTCCCTCTGATGGCGACCCGTCAGCGTGGTCAGCGTGGCCCGGTCCGCTGACTGTCCGCACCTGTCGCAGCTGCCAGGGCCCGTTCCGCGCCGAGCTGCTGCGCGACCAGCCGATGCTGCCGCGCGCCCTGCTGCAGGGCGCCGGCTGCCAGTACTGGCCGGGCGCGCGGCCGCTGCCGCACTGGTCGCCGCGGCCGGCGGTGCTGCTCGGCCGGCTGGACTGCCGCGCCGCCCTGCTGCGGCCAGAGCTGGACCGGCTGCCGGACGCGCTCTGTCTCCAGCTGGACGGCCGTCTGCCGGGTACCGCCGAGCGCTCCGGGCGCCTGTTCCGCAGGACGTTCGCGCTGCGGACGGTGCGCGAGATCGGCAGCTGGGGCTCCTCGAGAGGGCTGCGCGTCACCGACCGCCGCACGGGCGTCCAGTCCAACGGACACATTATTGCCGACGGGTCCACGCTGCGAATCGCCTACATGCAGCAGACAGCTCGCTACATCTGCAGGAAGAGCCTTGTGCGCAACAACACGTGCAGCAGTGTGGACATGCGCACTCTGATGCCTCTGTACCACACGCTGCAGCTCGAAATGGAAGTTCTCTTCTTCCCAAAGCGCTACAACTTGACGATAGAGTTTGTCGACACCCGACAACTGCCGGCGATGGCCCGACGCGGCCGGCTGGGCACTGAGTCGAGCCGCGCTGTGCGCCTCATTACCGAGGGCGGCGCTGACCGCACGTGGCCTTACATCACCCTGCAGCCAGAGATGTACCGGCTGCCTATCTCGGTGGTGCCCACCACGCGGCTCATCCCGTTCACCTTCATGTCAGTGCGCCGGCCGCCGCAACTTGACGCCGGCTCCCTGCTGCGGCTGTTCTCTGCAGGCACGTGGGTGGTCTTGGTGGCCAGCACGGTACTCGTGGCCGCAATACTGGCTCTGACGCTGCGTGCCGGTTCTCCGGGCGCCGCCGCGGCCGCGCTGGCGATGCTGCTGGGCCAGAGTGTGCCTCTGGGCGCCGACCGGCTGCCGGCGCGCCACCGGCCGCTGGTGGCAGTCTGGGTGGCCATGTCACTCATCCTGACCACCGCCTACCTCAGCGACCTCATCAAGACGCTGACGATTCCGCGCGACCGGCAGCTGAAGACGGCCCAGCAGCTGGTCGACCAGCGCTACCGGCTGATCGCCGAGTTCGAGAACCTGAAGCCGATCTACGCTCGCGCGCTGAACCCGTACGTCCGCCGGCTGGCGAGCTCCATGCGTCTGACGAGGTCTCGTGAAGAGGTGGTCAACGCTCTCCTGAACGAGCGTTTTGCCTACAGCCTGGATCACCGCACCATGTGGGAGCTCTCCGTCGACGCCATGCGACGCTCAGAGGGCTCCGTACTCTTCGAGGACTTCAACTTCGGCCAGGAAATCTTTCTGCGTGTGCTGATCGTGCGCATGTGGTCTAAATACCACCCTCTAGTGGCACGACAGAAGTTGCAGACCGAGTACCAGGCGGCCAGTGGCCTACCGCACTACAGTCGTTTTGAGAACGAGGCGCGGTACATGGGTCTGCGGTTCAAGGCACGCGCCTGCGCCCGCCGCCTGCCGTCGTGCTACACGGGCGCCGTGGTGCGTCCGCTCAGTCTGGCCAACGTGCACGGCGCGCTGCTGCTCTACGGCGCCGGTACCGCCCTGGCGCTGATCACTCTCCTGGCAGAGACGGCGCTGGCCCGGAGGAGCCACCCGCACAAGACCGCGCCCAAGCCGATAGCTGTCAGGTCCGGGAGCGGGGAGACGCAGGATGAGCAGCACCCGAAGCGTTCCCCGGTACTCTCCCCACGTCATCGGAACCAGAGCACTCCCTGAACCATCTAATTCGACTTAGTCAATTTGTGTGGACGATACAAAGACAGTTCGACTACCGTGATTTAACACCACGTCTCTCTGTTTGCTTGTTTTTAGATTTGTCGGCATCATTAGGGGTTTGCTGAAAATTTGATTGTTCCTTCAAATCACGCCAATCAGTGCTGTTGTACGAATTGCATTCCTTCTTTGCCCATTTTCGCCTTGTAGCGTATGTACGTATTTACATAATGTCACAATGTATCTCAATTTGCAACCCATCCCACGTTAGTTCCCTGTCTTTCTTTCGAGCATGATACACTGTTGCCCTACTTTAGGTATATTTTTGACAGCTACTAAGATAAGTAATGGCAAGTTGTGAGGAGTGCAGTGCCAGCGAGCTCAATAATGAGCCCGATCACACTGAAAACGGTTACCTACATATTTGCAAACGTTTTCGTATCCAAATCATATATAGTCTGTATGTATCTAAGAAGCATAGCCAGTAAGCATCGTTAGGACATCTTATAAGGGTTAGCGCAGTTATATACCTAAATGTGCGGCAACCGTCGTCTCTTTCAATTAATTAATCTGCGAGCACCCGAACGCCTTCGGGTGTCTTCGAACACGCCAAGAGTCGAGTCTGGACGTATGTGCCGCTGCGTCTTACAACACAAAGCACCGTTTCACTTAGCTATGACGTTTATTGTGGGAATGCCCGTCAACGAAGTGATAGTGACATGCGAGACCGCAGTGAGTGACACTTCAGATCTCCACTGCTCTAGGTACTCTTACAAACCGCGACCTCTTCAAGGCCGATATACGCGCAGAATAAGTTACCTGTGAATGGCAGTGCTGACGTCGCCTACAAAATGTTACCGCTCTTCTGGCACTAGTTCGCGTTCCGGGGCGCCAGGGCCCCACCCCGACAATCCAAACAGCGCTGCCGCGAACAACAACAGTGGAAATATCCTGGAACATCGCCGTTGCGGACGATCAATAGCGCGCAAGCTGCAAGCCCGCAGTCACACCTCCTCTCGCTCTCACTGCACACATCAGCCACAGCACGCTTAGCTGCAGTACAGGCAGCACACCACTGGAATCGGCTTACAGACACGCTTTGGTGACGTGCCCCCAATCATGCGGCACTGGAAGTTGAACACACCGCAACCTTCGCTATCTTTACTAGTGAGTGTGTGCTCGCCGCCCTGTTCGATCGCCGTGGGGACACTGGGATCGCCAGAGGGACGCACCACTCCTCGGAAGCCCTGCGGCACGACGATACCTGTGCCAGGGATTTCGGCACCGGAGGGCAGCACCTGGCCCGGCCGCAGTCCGGAGCCGGGCCAGCCTCCTCCGTCGCCTCCAACGAACCTACTGTCGACGCCCTGTAGGTCACCCGAGGCTGGATAGCCTGTGCCATCGGGTCCTCGGACGTCAGGTCTGAAACCATCAACTCCCAGACCATCGCCATCATAGCCATCAGGTCCGACTCCACCAGGACCAACACCGCCCGGTCCGACTCCGCCCGGTCTAACTCCACCAGGACCAACTCCGCCCGGTCCAACTCCGCCCGGACCGACTCCACCCGGTCCAACTCCGCCAGGGCCAGCTCCGCCAGGGCCAACTCCGCCCGGTCCAACTCCGCCCGGTCCAACTCCACCCGGTCCAACTTCGCCCGGTCCAACTCCGCCCGGTCCGACTCCACCAGGACCAACTCCGCCCGGGCCAACTCCGCCCGGTCCAACTCCGCCCGGTCCAACTCCGCCCGGTCCAACTCCGCCCGGTCCAACTCCGCCCGGTCCAACTCCGCCTGGTCCAACTCCCCCCGGTCCGACTCCACCAGGACCAACTCCGCCCGGACCAATTCCACCAGGACCAACTCCGCCCGGTCCAACTCCGCCCGGTCCAACTCCGCCAGGGCCAACCCCACCAGGTCCTACCCCTCCTGGTCTAAAACCTCCAGGTCTAAAGCCTCCGGGTCCTACCCCACCAGGACGGAATCCTCCAGGACCTACCCCACCAGGCCCAGTCCCATCAGGCCCAACCCCACCGGGTCCAACCCCTCCAGGTCCAACCCCTCCTCCTCCAAAACCTCCAGGTCTGAATCCTCCAGGTCCAACTCCACCGGGTCCAACTCCACCAGGCACAGCCCCATCAGGCCCAACTCCACCGGGTCCAGCCCCTCCAGGTCCAACCCCTCCAGGTCCAACCCCTCCAGGTCCAACCCCTCCAGGTCCAACCCCTCCCGGTCCTACTCCACCTGGTCCAACACCTCCTGGTCCAACCCCTCCCGGTCCTACTCCACCGGGTCCAACCCCTCCTGGTCCTACTCCACCGGGTCCAACCCCTCCCGGTCCTACTCCACCAGGTCCAACTGGTCTACCATAGCCAGCACCGGGACCGCGGGGCCCAAGGCCAGTACCGCCGGCGCCGGGTCCACCAGGCACACCGGCCCTCACAGGCTCGGCGTAGAACTGGTCGCGCTGTCCCGCACCCCCGGGAAGCTGACCAGCGCCGACGCCGGGCGCTCCTCCGCCGCCGGCGCCCTGGAAGTCAGAGCCGGAGCCGGCCTGCGCGCCGCCGGCCGCCTCTCCGCCGAGCACTCCCTCCAGCTGTGCCGAGGAGGAGCCGCCGGCCTGGCCGAGTTGGTTGGCTGACTGGGCGGCACCCTGGTAGCCGAGCCGGCCATCGTTTGTTTTTGTGACGGTGAAGCCTGACTGGGAGGAGGAGCGGCCCGTGCCATCGGCGCCCGATTGCGCCGAGCCGCCGCCGGCGCTCGACGACACCTGTGACGAGGTACGGCCGGCGCCCGAGCCCGACATACCGGCCGCCTGACCGGCGCCGGTCACCCGCGAGATCTGCACCTGGGTGCGCGCGTTCCCCTCGCCCGACTGCGCGCCGGCGGCGCTGCTGGCGCCCGTAGCGCCACCCTGCACCTGGGTCTGCGACATCTTGCCGCGGCTGCCGCTCTGCGACTGCGCCTGGAAGCGGCCAACGCCGCCGAACGAGCCGCTCACGTCCGACTTGGTGCCGTAGTCGCCGAGCGCGCCCTGCGCGGACGCCGCCGCCGACGTGTCGTCCTTGCTCACCTGCACCTGGCTCTGGGCGGCCGCTGAGTTGCCGATGGCCTGCGCCTGGCCGCGCGAGCCGTCCGCCACTGCCGGCGCTCCGCCCGGACCGGCGCCGGCGCCCGGCTGACGCACATCGGCCGGCCCAGTGCCCCTGCCGCTGGTGCCGGGACCGTAGCCTGGCCCATATCCCGGGCCGTAGCCTCTCGGTCCACCAGGGTAAGCGGCACCGGGATCGTAGCCCGGCCCATATCCCGGACCATCGGGGCCTCTCGGTCCACCGGGGTATCCTGCACCGGGACCATATCCAGGACCGTACCCTCGACCAGCTCCGGCCCCAGGACCATATCCAGGTCCGTACCCCGGGCCAGCTCCGGCTCCAGGACCATATCCAGGTCCGGCACCAGGACCAGCTACGGCTCCAGGACCATATCCAGTATCGTATCCAGGTCCGTACCCCGGGCCAGCTCCGGCTCCAGGACCATATCCAGGTCCGGCACCAGGACCGGCGCCACCAGGTCCAAGACCATATCCGGGACCATATCCAGGACCATACCCAGGACCACCACCAGGACCGGCGTCACCAGCTCCAGGACCATATCCGGGACCATACCCAGGACCGGCACCACCTGGTCCTGCACCAGTTCCAGGACCATACCTAGGGCCAGAGATCTGTCCTGGTCCGCCAACCAGTCTGTCGCCAGCACCAGTTCCCCCTGCCCCTCTGCCAGGTCCGAAGCCACCTGCTCCTGGGCCTCCGGGTCCGAATACACCAGCTCCTGGGCCTCCGGGTCCGAATACACCGGCTCCTGGGCCCCCGGGTCCAAAGACGCCTGCTCCTGGCCCAAAAGCACCAGCACCAGGGCCTCCAGGCGCAAAAACGCGACCTCCTGGTCCGAAACCGCCTGCACCAGGACCTACTGGTCCAACACCACGTCCTCCTGGTCCAAAGCCTCCAGATCCAGGGCCTCCTGGTTGAAACCCTCCTGCCGCAGGGCCTCCTGGCCTGAAACCGCCTGCTCCAGGACCTACTGGTCCGACACCGCCTGCCGCAGGACCTCCTGGCCCAAATCCACCAGCTCCTGGGCCTCCTGGTCCAAGGCTGCCTGCTCCTGGTCCAAATGCAGCGCCAGGACCCCCTGGCCCGAATGCGCCAGTCCCAGGACCTCCTGGTCCGAAACCGCTTGCTCCCGGACCTACTGGTCTAATGCTACCTGCTCCAGGACCTTCTGGTCCAAAACCACGGCCTCCTGGTCCGAATACGCCAGCACCGGGACCTCCTGGTCTGACTCCTCCAGTACCTGGGACTCCTGGTCTGAATCCTCCAGCACCTGGGCCTCCTGGTCTGAATCCTCCAGCACCAGGGCCTCCTGGTCTGACTCCTCCAGCACCTGGGCCTCCTGGTCTGAATCCTCCAGCACCAGGGCCTCCTGGTCTGAATCCTCCGGCACCAGGGCCTCCTGGTCTGAATCCTCCAGCATCAGGGCCTCCTGGTCTGAATCCTCCTGCACCAGGGCCTCCTGGTCTGAATCCTCCGGCACCAGGGCCTCCTGGTCTGAATCCTCCAGCACCAGGGCCACCGGGTCTGAATCCTCCAGCACCAGGGCCTCCTGGTCTGAATCCTCCTGCACCAGGGCCTCCTGGTCTGAATCCTCCAGCACCAGGGACTCCCGGCCCGAAGCCGCGGCCTCCTCCAGCGCCGAACGGCGCTCTCAGATCACCTCCGACCGCCTGCCCGAAGGAGCTGAACCCGTCGCCGGAGCCGGAGACGGTGGCCTGACCGGGACCCAGTAGGCCGGGCCCACCCTCGGCGTCGGCGCCGCAGCCCACGCAGTCTCCGCTGGCGCCCGACATCGACTGGCTGAGGCCGGAGCCCTGAGTGCCGCCTGCAACACAGACACCGCGGCATCGTCAGTGGGGCCGGGGACACCCGCCGCTGTCAGTGGGGCCGGGGACACCCGCCGCTGTCAGTGGGACCGGGACACCCGCCGCTGTCAGTGGGGCCGGGGACACCCGCCGCTGTCAGTGGGGCCGGGGACACCCGCCGCTGTCAGTGGGACCGGGGACACCTCTGCCGTCAGTGGGGCCGGGGACACCTACCGCTGTCAGTGGGACCGGGGACACCCGCCGCTGTCAGAGGGACCGGGGACACCTGCCGCTGTCAGTGGGGCCGGGACAACCGCCGCTGTCAGTGGGACCGGGGACACCCGCCACTGTCAGTGGGGCCGGGGACACCCGCCGCTGTCAGTGGGACCGGGGACACCCGCCGCTGTCAGTGGGGCCGGGGACACCCGCCGCTGTCAGTGGGGCCGGGGACACCCGCCGCTGTCAGTGGGGCCGGGGACACCTGCTGCTGTCAGTGGGGCCGGGGACACCCGCCGCTGTCAGTGGGGCCGGGGACACCCGCCGCTGTCAGTGGGGCCGGGGACACCCGCCGCTGTCAGTGGGACCGGGGACACCCGCCGCTGTCAGTGGGACCGGGGACACCCGCCGCTGCCAGTGGGGCCGGGGACACCTCCGCCGTCAGTAGGGCCATTGGAGGGGGACACCCGCTGCCAACAGCCGGAAGGACTGCATGCGGACTCTTGGTCGCTGGTAGAGAATGTGAAATGACAATTCTGATACCCAAATTGCAGTATTTTTTCAAAGGCATGTGACGTTACGACGCAGGATGGACACCCGCTACTATAAGCATTGGCATAATTGTATAAAGTGGCCATGTATATACTGTATGTTGAGTCATTATTCCTTAAATACAAACTCATCGTGCATTAAAATCATAGTCGGTTATGTCGTAAATGGCATCATGGGCCCACAAGTGGCCAATCTACCGTATTTCTCTGGCTAGATGCTGGGTGCTCAAACGGATAGCGCCTGCTGTCTGAGCACAGTCGAAGGCCGCGATACTCACTGACTGCTGCCTGGGCACGGCGCGGTGTGGCCAGAGCACTGCTGGAGCCGGTGCCCTGTCCGTGGTGGCTCCACGCCGACTGCGACTGGCCGCCCCACCGGTTCTTCGGGCTCCGCTTGGCACGATCTGTCGGCAGTGCAGCAACACATGATTTGGGTGGCAGCGGGGACGCACGGCTTTTGCAATACCGTAGATACATGTATTGTGAAAGTTTCGTAACCGTATGGTTTCCCAAACGTTTATTCAAAAGTCTCCTGGTCGAATGGTGTGGTCCACTTTCGAGGATGTAAGCATAATGAGATAATTTAACCCGCACCTCGCTGGGCTATTCAGCCATACGCGCCCTGCTGGGGGGGGGGGGGGGCAGATTCTGCCCCCCCCTGTCTAACTTCCGAACCGATGGTCGTAGAAAGACGGGGAAAACGGCAATCGAAAGCTCTCAACAAGGCGGATCTTAAAAGCCCATTTTTTTTGCTTAAGTAGGTCAGAGGTCAGGTGAAGGTCAGGTCAAGGGTACAAAGTGCAAGTTTCTACAGTATCGGCCTTGCACCGTAGTTGCCGAAGAATGGACTGAGACTGATTGCCCAAAACGTGTTTTTAGGCTACCAAGACAATATTCGTTGCATACAATATCATTCAAAGGTCAAGGTCAAGGTCGGGTCAGGTCAGGTCAGGTCAGGTCACCAAAAACGAAATAGAGAAAAGGGCATGTGCGACACATGTTTTGCAATCAATAATTTTACTATTGCACCAACAAAAAACAACAAAAAAATCAGATATTTGGATTTATCCAGTTTTTGCACGTATGTGCCCCACTCTCCCCTACAGTGGACTGCGGTGAACCATCAGCCAGCTCTGGCTTCGGAAAAAAATCTACCGGCGCCATAGACGTTGAAAAAAAGGAAATCAATCACGTTTGTTCAAGCTCATGGTCGCAACTTCACTGAGAAAACTAGTTAAACAACTCTCTTGGTAGCATTTGCCAAAGTATAGTGGCGGTTTCTAGAGAGGAAATGTTAACCGTTTTCAGTCAGAGCCATTTCACTCACAGTGAAGGCGGTCGGCGCCGTCGGCACCCAGCGGCCCGTCCCGGATCTGGTACTGGTCCTCCGACAGGTCATCGCTCCACGCAGCGGCCTCCAGCGGATTGACCGGGTACTCGATGCCATCGAACTCGAGCACAGTGGGCCTTTGAGGTGACAGCCAGGTGGCAGTAGCGCCCGCACAGAATGCGCGCACGCGGCGTCCAGCCTGCTCGCCCGTCTGCGGCAGGGGAGAGCTCGCGGTCAGTGGTGCCGCCGGCAGCTGCCCTGGACTCTCTTTCGGACAAGCTTGAAGCTACTGGCGGCTAGAGGCGACTATGAGTGGTTTCAGTTTCAATGGAACATCCCCACCAAGCGCTCGGTGATCCTGGGATTTATTGTGTTGCGTGTCCCCACCGTTTCACTTACCTGGTGGTCAGTGAGGTTGACGTTCCATGTGTAGAGCGTTTCGGCCGGACCAGCCACCACCTGATCCCGGATGGCCTCTAGTCGGCTCTGGTGCTCAAAGAAGTCCTCTTGAAGCCGCTCCAGGAAGCACTCCTCCGTCGATCCCGTGCGGTGGGCGACCACTCGCTGATGGCACGCAAAACAACTGGTTACGTAGGTATATTTTGCGGGCACGGTCCCGAGAACATTCTTCACAAATGACCAGCTTTGTAGTCGCTCAGAAAAAGTTACGTGGGGAAAGGTTACTAAATTTACCTTATATGCTTCACTGAGACATATTATTTTGAAAAGGTAACAACGCACTATAAGCTCTTTTACTCGAAACATTTATGGATAGAATGCGAGGAAATTAAGGACGTCTTTTTTGTCGCCATGTTGCCATTTTTACCATTATCTGCGATGAGTCCAGCACGGTCAGTTCTGCCTCACCTGGTGAAAGTCGTACAAACTGACAGAGGCGTGCTCGTTGGCGGTGGGCGTCACGAGCGCCACCTGTCGGTTCTCGTCGATCACCACTCGCACGGGCGCCCTCCGGCCGTCGTCGCTGACCAAAGTCAGCTGATGGACCTGCCGGGGGGGGGGGGGGGGACGGGGGGGGGGTCAGTCGAGTAGGGTCGTGCTAGAGGTTGGCGGTCATCAGGTCAGCCCACCACAGCCGGCCAGCAATGAGTCAGTGGCGTTTAACCGCCATGGTTTAAACATTTGGTTAATAACGAGTTGTGCTTTGATCGTTGAACTTGTCGTGAAGACTGCTTTTTCTGTAAACTTATTATTACCACGAAATTTTAGACTGAAGAATAGGTGCAATTTGTGCAATTTAAGGAGGAGATGCGGGATGGTCTTAAACCTCAAATAACGTTATGGCATAATTGTTAGGGCGTTTCGGAGCTTGTTCTTGTTTCTTGGTTCTTGCTGCTTACGAGCCGGCACAAATCCGTTTCGGACAGCTGAGCAGCTACTTAGGATTTGGGAACAGCCAACACTTTAGTTCGGGTGCGCGGTGAGCGACGAAGGCATGCGCAATGTTACACGCACAAGAGCCAAGGTCGTAGGTTTGATATTTTTTGTGTTGTTTGTTTAGGGTAGGTATAGGGGAAGTTGGGGCAATGCCGGGGTTGGGGCAAAGCCGAAATTCGAGATATTTCGAAAACCGTACGACATGGATGCCACCTGTCAGTGATGATCTGAAGCTTAAGTGACTACCAATTATCGCATGTTTGTTACCAGTCGTCATTCGGAATACTTCGGCTGTGAGGGCGCCAAGAGCGTTTTCAAGGTACGTTTCCTTTGTACTACATGCGTCTTCGAAGCTGCATTTCCTACTCATTATGCTACCGTTTGTCTGGCCAATTCGGTCAAGTAATCTTCAGCACGTCTTTGCATAAGTGTGCTGCCTATTTGAAATTTATACAGCACGTTGAAAAGTTATGGGCCTGCAAATGAAAGTATGGGTGGCTGGGGTAATGCCGAAAACGTGCAATTACGCGGCGCGTTAAAGCATGCTACGTGAACTTTACCGCTGTAGAATAGCAACGCGTATTTTTAGTCACACAAATTACACTTTTAACCGACACAACGGCCTGTTACCATAAGGAATGATTTACCTGGCCTTTTCTTATTATATCACACAATTATAACTTCCAGTGTGCACCAAGCGTCCTCAAGCTCTTAAAACGCGTGTCAGCTTTGACGAATTCTGGATAAAATTTGAGATAAAATAGCAAAACATCAATTTCGGCATTCCCGTAGATCATTTCTCCCATTTTCGGCTTTCCCCGCAGTCCGGGGCAACGCCGAAAAAGTCACTTCTTTGATATTTTTAGTTTGTGCGCTTAACGGTATGCGAATTCATCAAATGCGCCTGGTATGTTTGAAAGGCAAAAGACTGGCCTCTCGAATGACGCCAACAAGAATAGCTTATGTTGTCTACCTTGCGTGCTACGGGCGTTAGAAAAAAAGTATTCGGCGTTCCCCCAACTTCCCCTAGTAAATAGTTGTTATGAAACACCTCAATCTCGATTGACTTAGATATAAATTTAACAATGCGCTTTTGATTTTCCAAATATCACTTCCGAGAACATTATGCGGTTTACGTATAAACACACAAACACACAAACACGCACGCTCAGCAAGTGCCTACATACATATACCTATACCTACACTCTGAAACATCGACGTTTGCTGAAAATGGAAACATGTGATGGGGCGGCGTCCCAAACTCCAGCGACGCTTGAAAAGAACCATACTGAGCATGCCAACATCAGCGTGACAGTTTATGGTAGTTTTATCTAGTCATTCGTCTCAACGCCCAATATAAACAAATACCGTCTCCTAATACAGGGCGACGGGCTGGGCGCGACGGGTGTTCGCACAGGGAGCGTCGCCGGACCATCGCTCCTCGTGTCAGGCGAGCACAACAGACCTCATAACTAGGTCACAGGTACAGGAAGGCATGCACATGAAATGTGACAGAACCCGCTTGATGGCTTATCGCACAGCTGCTTAGGAATTGTACAAAAGCTGCTTGTAGTTGAAACTACGAGACGCGAGAGGAAGGTAAACTGTGTGACAGGAAAATTACAGACATATACCTATAAAGATATTGGTGAGTTATTATGATTGTGTAAGTATTTTGGTATCAGTTGTTTACAGCAAGGCATTCTTAGTGCTGTTCGTTTTCCATTTCCGATCTGTTCCGTTTAGTGTATACTTTTGGGAGAAGCAGTGCACATTGATAAACGTTGAAGTGCGAGAGAGAGAGAGAGAGAGAGAGAGAGAGAGAGAGAGAGAGAGAGAGAGAGAGAGAGAGAGAGAGAGAGAGAGAGAGAGAGAGAGAGAGAGAGAGAGAGAGAGAGAGAGAGAGAGAGAGAGAGAGAGAGAGAGAGAGAGAGAGAGAGAGAGAGAGAGAGAGAGAGAGAGAGAGAGAGAGAGAGAGAGAGAGAGAGAGAGAGAGAGAGAGAGAGAGAGAGAGAGAGAGAGAGAGAGAGAGAGAGAGAGAGAGAGAGAGAGAGAGAGAGAGAGAGAGAGAGAGAGAGAGAGAGAGAGGAGAGAGAGAGAGAGAGAGAGAGAGAGAGAGAGAGAGAGAGAGAGAGAGAGAGAGAGAGAGAGAGAGAGAGAGAGAGAGAGAGAGAGAGAGAGAGAGAGAGAGAGAGAGAGAGAGAGAGAGAGAGAGAGAGAGAGAGAGAGAGAGAGAGAGAGAGAGAGAGAGAGAAACTGAAACAATCGATATTTCGGCAAAGGAAACAGCCGGTGGTACGGATGTTTTTGCTTCCACATAGGTACATGGATTTTCGAGCTCAGCAGCTGGTATACAAATATCAATTTTGATAAATTTGACACTGAGATGCATCCTTGTAGCGAGACTCCAATATCCAGGCCAGGCAATTGAGCTTCAATGCGGTCATAATCGCTGAAAGATCCATAATAAATCTATAAAAGCTAAAGGGAAGTGAAAATATTGATAAAAGGTTGTAAAATGTTGATATCAATGCTCAACCATGGGATGCAAAAACGTGGAGGCAGAACCGACCTACCTGTCATCCAATCACGAAATATTTCAGATATCCGCTATATCATCAGATTTATTTCAGCACATATACCGTAAGGCTGAGTGGCCGGTGCATGTTATAGGTATGCGTAAATGACCTATGTATTTCAGCACAATTGCTAGCTGGTTACTACAAGGATGCATTGTCCATCCTTGGGTTTTTGTAATTATAAAAAGTAGCTGGTATGCGTCACAAAAAGACTACCTACCTATATGAAAAAGTGGAGAAAGTGTTTTGCACATAATTCTAGGTGGATAAAACTCATGCATCTCGCTCTTTGGGTAGCCTATCGCTCTTATTGCAATATCCATATTCCATAGCCTATATCTCCTATCGCTGACTGCCACGCGGCGTCCGTTCCCGAGCAAGAAGCTCATGACACGACCTTGATAGTCGCTCGGCTCGGAGTCGGAAATCGACTCCGGTTGAGGCCGACCAGACGACGTGCTGGACAAACAGGGCAGGGAGGCGGCGTCGCCAGCTACCGCTGACGTTTACACACGGACGTATATACAACTGCCCCGATCGCTGCCCACGGACGCCAGCCGATGGTCGTGTTCTACATTCGGCACTCTGTGCTGGGAAACTGATCGAAATCGAGGCACGAAATGACCGAGGTTCATCAGCTTTCCATCAGGGCTGATGACACCAGAAGTGGGATCATATGTTGCAATTACTTTTTCATATTTTGCAAGCATGTTCAAAAAGGATATTTTGTAAGCGTTTCGACTGCCTTTTTAGTCGAGACGTTTTTTTTTTTGCCTTCGTCGTGATCGTACACCCACAATGTTACCAAAGTGATGCATAGGCACGTTTGGAAAGAAGTTATAACATAGGAGTTTAAAGAATTAAAACAGAATTCACCGACGATTTAAAATAAGTGTTACGAGATCTCTTTCTGAATGGTCATTTCCATTCCTATGTATTAATGTATGAACATCTATGTATTAGTGGTATCAATTAATACTAATATTAATTTTCCACTTAGGTATTAGGAAAACAGTGGGTATGTACAATAGTCATACCTTGCAAATAAGTCACCCATTTTTTCACGTACGACTTTTGTTGAACGTCAAAAGCAATGCAGAACTTCGCAAATAACCATTTTAACCATTAATACCATAACCATTAACGATTCGGAACTTAATTAATGGTTTCAAACTTAAAATTAAACTTAAACCAAACTTAATTTCATGGTTTCTCAAAGAACAAATTATCGCATACATCACCCACTAATAGACCAACAAATCGCAAATAAATATAGGTAGGTATGCTTCACAGTTCACTTGGCATTGCCTGAGCAATTGCATTGTAAAATGCATTACACAGTACAGTTATTACACAGTTACACAGTACAGCACATTTAGAACTACGTAGTCGGTAGTTCTTAATTAAAAATGAGACAGCAGTGCACAGACATGCCATGCTTTCGTCTTTTGTGTTGAATTTACCTATTCCAGATTCATAGCCTTTTTTCTGGAAAGTTGTATTTGTCTTTCAAGGAAAAATTCAGTTAGTGCAAAGAAAATTAATAGGTATTTTGTCTTTAAAAAAATGAAGTATACACGTAGCGCAATAATGTTTTGCAACGATCTCGTGAGCATGCATGATGTACTACGGCTTTGAATGCTATCGAGCGACCCTCTCGGGCAAATCAGCAACACTGTTTCACTGGCAAATGGACGGCTCGGCTGACATCTCCTACACCGGCAGCCTCGGCAGCCATCTCCACTGGCCACAGCTGGCCAGGCCACACCGGTCCACCGCGTCCAATGCCACCTCCACTCCTCCGTCGCTAAATCGCTCACGAAACGTCCGTTCGCTCCGGCCGGTGTCAGGTCACACGAGGCCGGGTCAGGTCACCGGGCCGGCTCACCTTCACTGAGAGAGGCGCGACTCCCTGGATGGTGGCCAGCGCGGCCAGTAGGCCGGCCAGCAGGCTCGCCGACGCCATGGTGGCCACTGATGGCCTCCGGCGCGACGCCGCCCCCTTATCTAGCCTCAGTCGCGTGTGTGTATGCATATACGTCTGCAGCGGCCACTGGCGGCAGAGCCAAGGTCATGGGGCCGACTGGACTGAGGACGACCAGTGGCGAATGAATGGCGCCATTAGAACCGTTCAAGTAGGTCTAAAAAGAAACAATTGTGTGGGTGCTGACGGCAGTGACGCCACACTAGTTTTTGTGTGGATAGCGATTACTCACGCGTAACTAAACAGTAATTGGCCGAGAGCAAGGCTACATGGGTATTGCTCGTTTTACGGTTCCACCGGACTGTCTGCTTTCTCCTTCTGCGCTGCTAATCGTGTCCATATTTATGTCACATTGAAGCCACTGTTGACCACATGTTTAGAAAAGCGTCCGTCGGAGAAGTGCTTAAATAAAATCGCAAATGACATTCAGCAAATGGTCTGACCGGTAGGTGGTGTTGACAGCCAACACGCGATGCTGCAGTACGTAGATAGATATTTTTTCTAAATGTTACATACCTACCTACATGAGTCTACTGTCGACCATGATTGCTAGCCATTGCCCGTTTAAATTGTGCTAGTTAGTATTGAGTTCCGGCTACCGGCTGGCTAGGTGGTTAGACTGTTCTTAAATGAGTCAATATAACCATACCAACATTTCCAGTACGTCTTATAAAACAAATAGCGCATTCGCAGACAGGGCAGTTGTCACGCCGGTCACGCCTGCGGTTGCTGCTGCGGCGAGGCGCCTCACCCGCCTTGCAGGTGCTGCGCAGATACTCTGGCCTGATAGACTGCGCCGCAGTACACGCCTGAGAGCGCTGCGGCACAGTCTGCCGTCCAGGGGACAATTCGCCCGCAAAATGACGCTGTGTTGCAGCGCGACCACACATCTGAGTTCACACTGTCCACAGTCGCGATTCGCTGTGCCTGGAAGCGCGAGCATGGGTTGCTCTGAGACAGCCTGGCGGTTATTCGCTCCGAGCGTCCCCTCTTCCCTCCAAGTTAATTTTTACAGGAGCGTCCCGGCCTGGAAGGTGAGTAATGAGAACAGTTTTACGGCACCCTTGAGTGTTTGATGGCCCTGTTAATCAATCCTGAGAGAGTTGTTGTCAGTTGGTGAAGGCAATGCGCTCGCAGCTGCAGTCGGACAAATGAGAACAGAGCGCAGACCCGATCGGCAGATGTGGGCCCTTGGAATGAATTCCTATATCCTTTGCACTTTTGCAGTGGTTGAGATTCTGGCTTCTAATTGACTGAAAACGAGGGTGCCTGGCTGCTACAATGCACACTGCACGGTTCTCGCATTCAAGCGAATGCGTGCTCAAATGAGGTAGGTCCGTTTGACAGCTAGGACGGTTTTAATTTTGATTGCGCGTAGGTGCCGATTACGAGCGAGGGCGGAGGAGAGTTTTTCAATAAGTATAACGGTAAGATCTCAGCATGAGCGAGCCGGGCCGGCACGGCCCGACCCGGTCTGTAACGCTTTTGACAGGCTCATAGTTCAGCTCGCACACCATACTTCTCCAGCATACATTCTGTTTTTCTCAATGAAGTCAAGATTTTGGATTCTATAACGATTTCACAAATAAAAACACATGTTTTGGTTGGTCTTTAATTTGGGTTAGAAGCGTTTGAAGTTTTGCAAATGTTTATCATTTTCTCAAAATTTACGACAGAGTTCGTTACAATTTTCAGGAAAAATGTCAAATTAATGTATAATTAGGTACCTACAGAGATCTACGATGCATAATACAGTACTAAAAAGTTGACGTCGCTGGCACATGCCTTTGCTGTTTAGAATCTATAATTGCCGAAAAACGGGAGGGGGCAGATTCTGCCCCTCCCCATGCGGGAGGGGCAGTTCAGCTTTATTCTAAAGCGAATTACTACAATGGGAATGTCTTCTTTCCTATATTTATTCAACCTTCCATATGGCTATTTTATTATCCCTTTTTTTCTGTGAAAATTATTGGATCATAGCGGAGGTAGGATCAGTAAAGCGACGCGCATTGTTATTTGATACTATTCTCAGCCTATCCCGTAGCTCAGTTGGTAGAGCATCGGACTCCCGGTAGTGAGAGCCCGGGTTCGAGACGCTCCGGCGCTCGATATTTGAGACTCCTGACGGGGATGGTCTGCGGTTGGTGGGAGCAGCCGCAGCCAGTTGAAGTCAGTTGAGTGGGACAGGCCGTGTCCGGCTTTGAAGGGCACGTTAAACATTGGCATCTAAATTCTCCCGTTACCCGGAATTGCGCGATCGGACGGTAGGGGTCGGGGTCTACGCAACAAGGTCTGCTTAGCGTGGGCTTCGGCTCTGTCAATCCGTCCATTCAAACATTCGAGCTAAATTTATTTAAGAAAATAAAAAAGACCTACGCCCCAATTCATCTTTGAAAAACGTTAAATCTTCTGTGTTCTTATTGCCTTGCTAAACAAGTAAATGGACGATGTGAGTGTCAAAACATGTAATCTAAGTCGTTGCCACAAAATAAAAGAGTTTATTCAAGACTCCTGCATGTTCGACTGCTGCATCTATTCCACATTTTTAGTAACTTTCATAATGTGGACCATTAAGCACACACCATTCTCCCCTGAAAATGTGTGGAAGGTTATATCTTCGTCGTGCATTTATCTTATCTTAGTTCAATTACAGTCCCACTGATCGTGTAAAAAGATTTGGCACGCACTGGTGAGCAAATCGGATGTAAAACGAGCCTTCATTTGCCAGTATTACTGCAGCGATGAGTTGCGAATTGACGGTAATGCCGGCATCTCCGACAAACATCCGTTCCGACGCGTCCAAAAACTGCCCCTCCGCCGCGCTGCGCCATCATGGCTGTGGCCCAGATCCTCACCTGACCTGCTTTCGGCCGTCGCTCGGTCCGCAGGGGCGCAAACAGAGCCGCTCCCCGCTTCCTGCAACATGCATCACGATCCGAACAACACCGGCTGGCGGCCTCCCGCGGGGACCGGTGAGGGGGAGGGCCGGCACGCCGAGCGCCGTCGTCTCGTGCCGCTCTCGTTCGCGGAGTTAGAGCGGTGCGCTGTGTCCTCACAAGCGGCAGGATGCGGGTGGGGCTGTTCCCCATCCCGGGCCGGCAGCAGCGGACCGCGGGTGGCTCTCTTTGTCCTCCACAGGTATCCGCCGCGCTCCATAACAGTTCATAATTTAGCGAGCGGGCGGCGCTGTGCACAGCCTGTGCAGTTCAAAACATGTTTTCGTCGCCCCGACGCGGGCGGCCCGAGAAGATCCTGCAAGAACACGGCGACTGCCGCTCTACAAGGTCCACTCTGCGCTGTCTGGACCCGCGAAACTGATCCCTATCACGTCGCGGCAGATGTTACGGATACGACTATTTCTGGCGGGCTTTTTGCTGCCGTGCGCGGCAGGTCGCACGCGCTGCCTGCGAGGTACTTACAACACCTGCGGCCAGGCTCGGACGGATGGATGGGGCGGCTCGGCACTGCTGCGAGCGGCGCAAGGCGATGCAGGACCACTGCTGGACCACTGCACAGTGGAAACTTCTGACCACTGCTGGACCACTGCGCACTAGATACTTCTGACCACTGCTGGACCACTGCGCGCTGGAGACTTCTGACCACTGCTGGACCACTGGTACTGCAAGACCACTGCACACTGGAGGCTTCTGACCACTGCTGAACCACTGCGCACTGGAGGCTTCTGACCACTGCAAGACCACTGCGCGCTGGAGACCGCTGACCACTGCAGGATCACCGTACTGCTGAAAACTGACCACCGAAGGACCACTCACTGCCCCAGTAGTGTGCACTGGACTGGAGACCACTGAATGATGAGACAACTGCAGGGAGGTTACTTATATATCGCCCAGGGATCACAAAGGTTTTATTTACGATAGTGAATGACTTAGGAATATGACGATGATATCCCTACTCCTACCAAAATGTGACATGTTGGTAAAGATTTTAAAGTCTAAGTCACCTATAGTTATAGGTAGAAGCCTTGACCGATTAATTTTAAAACTGCTTCAGATGCTGAAGCAGAACAATCAAGAATAATTGAAACCGTGGATAGCTGGTAGTCCGTCACTTTGTGGTGCGTCGCTTGATTCAACTAGGATGGTGATGTGCAACTAGCAACTAGCCAATTAAGCACTTATATAAGTAGACTTGCAGACCCATGAGAATGCATTAGACTCGCCACTCCTGAGCAGTGAGCATACCCCTATATCATTTTACTTACTTATAGGTGTACATTAATGTCCCTGATCCGATCGGAACTTAGAGCAAAGCCTGAACTTGAGCTCACAAGGCTGATTCGATGCATCCAAGTATATGGTAGATGCTGCAGTGGATCTGCACATGTGTGGCACACTGATCGAATTTCTGGTCTCCGCCCATCCGCACCCTCTGGTCTGGTCATGGGGCGCGCGCGGTGGTCGGCCCGTGCCGGTGACCCTGGCCCAGATGTGAGCTGTGTCGACTGCCGGCTGGACCACCCTGCTATCCGGCAGAATATCGTGCGGGTACGTAAAGTTATCATGATATTGGGTACGTCCTGTTACTGTGTGCAGATGATCAGAGAGGGCCGCTCTGCAGCGAGGGGGTGATATATACTGGTAGCTGGGAAGCGGGACTCGACCCGCAGGCTGGCAGTACGTCACTGAAAGCTGACCGTGGTATTAATGATGACCGTCATGACCACGAGATAGGCACCGAACGATTGGCTGGCATTGGCCACATTTTGGTGGTACTTTTCTCTCCGTCTAACTGCTTGCATTATTGACTTGTTATTCCCCGATTCCATTAAATCGTTGACACCCGGACCCTATAACGATAAAGTTCTCCTTAGCACGTCATCAATCAGCGCAACTCAAACCATGTCGTAACTCTCGCACCCATCCTATTCACCTCGCCAGCTCATTAAGCCGGGCTCTCCATTAAAAGTGCACATCATCACGCACTTTCTGCGTTTCGCAACAGCGGCTGGCCGGCGAGGCTGCTCCGTGCCCCTCGCTCTGTAGTCGTTGGCAGCGAGACTGTTGTGGACGCTGACTGGTCCGGTCATCATTGCATAACGGTGTTGCAGAGCGGGCCACCGAAATCGACAGGTGCGACGCAGGTGCGCGCGTCTGGACCGATATCAGCCACCGGTGGTAGCAGTGGTATCTGGGCCGGTATCTGGGGTGGTATCAGCGGCATCGGTGATATCTGGGATTGGATCAGGCACCAGTGGTATCAGTTGTATCAGGCCGGCATCTCGGGCGGTATCAGGGGTGTCCGCGCCGGTATCTGGACCGGTAACAGATATATCTGAGGCGGCGTCAGAGGTATCTGGGACTGCTGAGGTATCTGAGACGATATCAGAGGTAGCTGGGGAGGTATGAGGTATCAGAGGTATCCGGACGGTGGCAGCCACCAGCGGTATCAGATGTATCGGGGCCGGTATCTGAGACGGTTCAGAGGTTTCTGGGGCGATATCATCAAATATCACGAGCAAATTTTTCTCACAACCTTAAACTCAATGCCGTTATCCTAAATAAGTCATTCAAAGCAGTTGGCGATATTTTGGCGTCGCTGCTACTAAGTACTAAGTGTGCAATGGTTTCACCACCGGCTGGCCTGCTGCCCGACCAGGTTCGACTCCGGGTCAGTGCCGCAGGTGTTTTTAGCCCCGAGACTGTGATGCAATATTTGGACACCGAGTCCCGAGAGCTGCAATCGTCTCTGATCGATCTATCAGTGGTCGAATCTAAGTGATGCGCATTTATCTCCAATTAATTTTAGACCAAATTACGTGATATTGCGAACAGAATCAGACGGCTTTTCTGAGACAAAATCCTTTTCCTAATTACGTGTATTCAACATGATAATTAAAATATTTAACGACTGAAAGCACTAGATAAGAGGATGGACGAGCCACAGCACACAAAAAGGAACAAAACAGAGGTAAATTGGCAGCGTTTCTCGACCTATCATTCATCAGCAGCCCATATCGGACATGGTCCTCTCCAGCTGGCGTTCGAGGCGCGACAGCTGCCGCTCCAGCCCCGGCTGACCGCGGCCCTTGCGCACTACCAGCTCGCGCGCCCGCTCCAGCACATCCTCGGTCAGAGACCAGTGGCCGGGCAGCGCCGGACACGTCCGCTCCTGTTCCCTGTTCGGGAACACCCAGAGACGGTGTTCGGGCACGCGGCGCTCGAGGCCGAGCCACCGCGCCAGCCGCGCGCGCAGTGGGGACCGGCCGCCGACAGCCGCCAGCCACCGGATGGGCGCAGAGTCGACGCATACTCCGCGGTCCCCCAGTGGTCGCGCCACGGCGCCCAGGAACTGTAGAGGCCCATCGAGCAGGATGGACTCGCTGTAGGCCAGCAGGCGGGCGCGCGACGCCAGACTCACGGTGACGGCGTGGCTGCGCAGCGCGGCTGTGTCCGAGATCGCCAGTCCGTTCAGCAAGTTGGTCAGCACCACCGTCACGAAGAAGAGGCACATGACGAACACCAGCTGAGCGGCGGTCGGCTGGCCCGACGGCGGGCACGTCCAGGTGCCGTTCCCGGCCCGCTGGCAGTGTTCCAGAGGAAGGGAGTTGATCTCCATCTTATCCAGCACCATGACGAGCGTGCGAAGCAGAGCAAGACCCGGTGTAGACAGGTCGTAGTGAACGCGATCCTTGCTATCCCTGAACACGATGAACATGCTGATTGCGAATCCTGTGATGACAACGCTGTACCACACCAGGAACCACAAGAACCTGGCAAACACGGTGGTGTACATCTTGGAGTAAATAGCAAACGACGGGATGCGGCTGAGATGAACGAACAGCTGCGCCCAGGCGAGCAGAACAAGAATTGAGGCTAGCGACAGTTGCGGGTTCAGAGCACCATCGGGAGTAACTGGCCAAGCACCCTTCACCAGGTAGACGGTCGTCATCACCAGCACCGGCGCTTTTATCAACGCATCCTCCCACTGGAGGAAAAACCGGATGGGAGCTGCGAGAAACTGCATCACCTTGGCTGCGATCATCGGTATAGTAACGCCAACTGACGCCCAGTAGAAGCCCCTCACAGCCCGGTCAAAACCATCCCAGGTCTCAGACAGGATTTCATGCTCAACTCTAAGGAAAACCAGTGTCGTTAGCAGTGCAAGGAAAACCAAGTAGAAGACGAGATCGGCGATGATGAGGCCACTGGCCGCCCACCACTTGAGGTCAAGGAAGGACCAGACTAGTGGATGGCTCAGCAGAGGGCAATGCTCCTCGCTGTCGGCCATATGAAACACGGTGGCCATCTCAAATTGCGTTCGGCCTGCGGGCAGGCGCGGCCACATCAGGGCATAGTCGAACTCGATGCCGAAGTCGGGGTCGCCGCCGTCCCGTTTGCCGCGCACACACGAGTCGAGGTGCTCGTGGAGCACGTCCACAGGCAGCGAGTGCAGCAGGGGCTGACCGAGGTCGTCGGGCGCGCTAAGGTCGGCGCCGGCACGCAGCAGCGCCCGGATCGCCGCCGGACTGCCGGCCTGGATGGCGTGGTGTAGCGGCGTACATCCCAGCGCGTCCGGCGCGTTCACGGCCGCCGCCGGCGCACACTCCAGTACCTGGCGGAGGATGTCGGCGTCCTTGGCGGCAGCCCAGTGGAGCGCTGTGCGTCCGCTGGCCGGGCTGGCCGCGCAGGGGTCGGCGCCGGCCTCCAGAAGCAGGTCGACGAACTCGTCCATCCGCCGGTCGCAGGCGTACAGGAGACAGGTGAAGCCGTCCCCGTGGCTGTAGTCGATGATGGCCGGCTGGCCGGCGCAGTGACTCAGCAGCACCGAGAAGCGCGCCAGGTCGGCTGACTGGACTGCCTCGTACAGAACGTGCGCCGCCTGCAGGGTGCCCAGGCGCGAAAAGTGAGCGGCGTCCACGGCATCGGTAGAGGCTGAGGTCAAAGACGGTGGTGGAGGATGACCGATGGTTGGCTGCTGTTCGGTGGTGGGGACGAAACCCGCACTTTCAGCTCTCTGTTCATTGGTGGCCCTGGTGTTCGCCTCACCCTGATCTTTTATGTGGCCGAAATCAGCTTCATCCTGCAGAACGCCAAGCTCAGAACCAGACTTGTTCGGCACGAATGTCGCTGGCTCCGAAAGAGCCTCGAACTGTGGCTCCATCGGCAACTCACTCTCCTCGGTATTCCTAGATGGCTGATTAAAATCCGTTTGAAGTTCTGCCCCAGGGTCTGCATTGTCAATACCCTGTTCGTTTTCAGCCTGAGGTGCATCTTCTTCGCGGCATTCCGCACCGCCCGCTGCACCGGCTGCTGCTTCCACAGATCGGCCATCTTCTCCAGCTGTGCTATCAGTGTCCTTCGTCATCCTGTAGGTGGTACAACATTGTTAGATCATCATCATCATCATGATCACGTTTATTAAGAAACAAAATTGTTTGTAGATTGTTTTGTTTGTTTGTAGATTGTTAGAACAAACTAATGGCCGAAGGTGGGCGTGGCATGAGGGCGTTTAGCTCCTTCTTGCAACTCAATGGGTTCCTCTTCATCCATATTCGCTAAAATTGCGAAGGCTCGGCACCCCCGGGTATAAGGTTCATAAAACCCAGCGCATTTTCAGAATCAAATGAAGTACCTACCTATTCAAATAAAGAAACTTTTTGCATCAGTCCAGCCTCAGCTTTGCATTACCTACTATCGTTCAATGTTTTGGGTGTGCTAAACGCACTCTAGGTACCTATATCATTTTGACCGATTAGCGCTTCGAATGACAAACTTCGTTGCAAAGTTAGATAAACTTATCAAACTTATGAACAGCTCATCGATCTTGGCTTTAGTTTTTTTAGCATTCAAGTTTAGCTAAGTGCTTCAAGATTAACTTAAAATACTGACCTAGTTTGGTGAACATCGTTATAGGCAGGCAATTGGGTTAAATTTGGAGCCTGAAACGCGACATAATGGCATTCCTTGATTAAAATAAATGTCATTTCAAAGATATTTGCTTAGTGCTCACATATCAATGTGTTAGGAATTTACTATGACCTGACTTTTTTGGAGAAGAAAAGCAAGTTCATTGCTCACCAAGAGCAATGCAAACTAGAGCACTTCATGGGCCGGATAAATCCGTTATCCACGGATAAATCCGCGGACCGGATAGGATTGGATTCTAAATTTGTTAAAAAAGAACGGATATGGGCGGGCCGGATTTGGGAATTGAAGGTTGAACCCGGATCAAAACGGATCAAAATTTTAACATTCAACATTGAAGTTAAAAATTAACCTAATGTGTTAAGCGGCAGCAGAGGTTTGATTAAAGTAATAGGCATCATTTTATGACACTCACTTGTCACAAGACTTGTCTTCAAGTGGATAATGTATGCAATGTATGCATGGTTTTTGGAACCATGATGGTCTATGAGATGTATGGCTGTCTGGTCCCTTAGATTGAATTTGTTAGTCCAGTTTTGGGTGAAACCAGTTATTGGTGAAACGGATTATTACGGATATTTTTTGGAAGTTTGGCTGCAATACGGGCCATGGGTGGGCCGGATTCTGATATTCAAAGAAAGGCGGATAATGGGCGGATCTGGATATGACTTGCCGGATATGGGCCGGGCCGGATCCTAAAAAGCCTATCCGTGAAGTGCTCTAATGCAAACTTAGGTTATCCAGCTCATACACGTTTGTTAAAGGTAGTGTGCCAGCTTTCTTGGACCGTATGGAGTTAATGGCCCAGATAAGGAGAACCGGATTTTTAGAACTTATCCATACCTTCAAAACTCATGGAAACGTCTTAAATTCTTCAAATTTTGAGTACCCCAGTGCGAAATTCGCCCCGACGGGTTGTCGGTCGTACCCCAACCACATTTCACACCACTATGAACAATAAATGCACACACTGAAATCGCTATTACCGATATGCTCATCCAATCAAGTTTCGATAAACCCGTTCATCATCATCTCCTGCGGTTTCGAACACGCCTGTTAGGTGGCTTCTGATGCTCGTCGAGGTCGGAATTTCCAAATACGCGTGGTGCGTCGGGCCGCGCGCTCTGACTTCGGCCAAGAAAAATGCGTCAGCTGATCATTGTCATTTCTGCCACTTGCGTGTGGTGAAATGGGGTCATAACTTATAAGACGGCTTTTTCATATCAATTATTTTACATAAAATCATATTTCAAACCATAAATAATGTTCGACAGCCAAATAAAAGAAACAATACCAATACGGGCTTAAAGTTTAAGGCTCGACATTGTGTTGTCTACGATTAGACAGCTGATAACTCATTCCCGTACGTCGTATGGTCGTAACACTATAATGACCTTTGCTTATTGTCACAAGTGCGCCGCATTCGCGATTGTTGCCCGACGCCTGTTTGCAGGTGAGCCCACTACAGTTGTTATACATATCTAAAAACCGAAAAACTTTTAGGCGAAAAAGGCACTATTCCAGGCCCATTTTTGATTTTTTTTTTGCGATATTAGGTAAAAACAGAAGCTTGTTATCCTAGGAAAAATAAAATGGGAAATCTTTCAAAGGTGGCACACTACCTTTAACTAATAAAAAATTAATTATGCATATCAGGTCATAGGAAACATTGACATCAAGACCTGTGACCACATTAGAACCCTGGCGACCGCTAAACAAGGATGAGCCATCTTAACCCTCGCCGGAAGAGGCCATTTTGCGTCCTTCGACGGCACAGGGGGACCCTGTGCCCTGTACGACCCCCCTCGCGTTTGGCCGCTGAACGAGCTAGAGCTTCGCGAAGAAAAACGGGCGTGCTGCCCGTCACGAGAGGAAGTTGAGCCCGATGATACCCAATTTTAAGGTCCTAGGGCATCGGTTGACCTTCCAGGTGAGGTCAATGACCCAAAACTCGGGAAAATCGGGACCTGTTAGAAAGTCGTAAAGTGTGGCTGCTATAGGGTATTTCGTGGTGCTGATCACGAACATCGTGTTAGTTTCGATCACAGATGATATCTTTAAGCATTTAGACCAGTTCGGGTCAGGTCAGGTCAACCACTAGGGGTCGTGACGGGTATTCGAAGTACGTGTCAACCGCCTCTGAGCTGAGAGCTTCGTAACATGTTACGAAGGCACCAAAACTACATTGTAAATGTTCAAATTGTTTCTAAATTCGAATTCAGCTCCAAAAACTAGCCTGGAAACATGTAAAACTCGAAAAATGAACCGAGTTCACCAAAGGTCAATGACCTGACCTGACCTTCAGGTGACCTTAACATCCGCCCTTATGCATTGGAGCAACATCAAATCACATGTTTGAACGTTTGAAACCACGAAAAGATTGCAAACGCGTGGCTAATGCGAGCCGACATACGCCGAATCGGGATTCCGGCCAAACATGGTCTCGGAAAGTAGGCCACAGGTCAAAGGTCATTTGGCTCAGGATCATGAAATTTTCAGGGTAGGTGTAAATTGACCAATGCGAGGGTACTGAAAGTTTCGTCCCAGTTATTCGCCAAAAACCTAAGGGAGGGGGGGCTTGCATCGACCCCCCCCCCCCTGTGCCGGCGAGGATTAACCCGCGCCCTGATGGGGTCTGCCGAGCAGCGCGGTCTGATGGAGGGGGGCATTTTGCCCCCCCCCCCCCCCTAAGATCTCGAGAACCACGCAACATAGCGACAAGCGGCAAACGGCGTTGGATAGCCCCAACGGGTGACCCACTTTCATTGACTTCGGTCTAACCGATGACGTCACAGGTCAGGTCAAAGGTCGAATTTTCACCGTTTACAGGCATGAAATGCGCTATAAAATCGAGTAAAATGCATTTCATTGAAAATCATCGATGGGGTCTGGGGAAATGTTCGTCAAACACATATTTTGCTATTTGAGGTCACTGATACCAGGTCAGGTCACAGAGGTCAGGTCACTGGGGGTCACAAATAAAAAATATCATGTGATGCATGTTTTATGGTCCATTCTATATGCCAAATGCGATTATGTTTTGATGATTGTTTTAGTGAGATTATGTTTTGGTGAAGGTCAGGTCAAGGTCAGGTCAAGGTCAGGTCAAATTAGGTCAAATTTCAAAGTTGATATTTTTGCATAAAATGGGTATCGATTCGATGCAGCTCGTCACGGGGAGTTCAATGGTGGTCTTTGTTTTGCGCTACGTGGTCTAGAATTGCTAACAATTGAGTTCAAAAATTTGACGTCATCAATTTTAAACCGTTTTTTTTTTTTCGCTGTAACTTGGCCAAAAAAGGAGGCATTGATCTAAAATTTGATATGTATATGGAAGAGCGCAGGCACTATCACATATATTCCGTTTTTCGAAATTCGTTTTTTTTTGGAATTTTTATGAGCTTTTCTAAAAAAAAAAATCATTTTTTTTTATTTTTGGGGGTCAAAATTCCAAAAAATTCAAATTCTGAGATAGCAGTTTTGTAGCGCCGTCCTTTCTCTACACAACCACATAAAGAAGTTTAAAATTGCTTGTTAACTGTAGATTTGGTGAGCGTTTCAAAATGTCATGTTTTTGCCCATTTTTACTCGAACATGACCTCAGTTTGACCTCAATAACTCCTGACCCAATGTGACCTGTGACTTGAAATTTTGTGTTAGATGCCCGGGAAGGTACCCAAAATTTGGCGGCGCTGCGCGCCGCCGTTTTCTCACACCACAGGGGGGGCCAAAATGCCCCCCCCATCAGGGCGCGGGTTAACAAGTAGGTAACTACGAAGCTTTCTAAACGCCACGCAAAACGGCATAATGCACAGCCAAACCCACCTGCCGTAGACACAAGCAGCAGCGAGCGCGATGACCCCAATCCCGACCCTCCAGCCCGAGGGTCGCCACACCGCCACACCAGCCAGCCGTCCTTCGGCGTCTGACCGCGGTTGCCGACCTGACCCAGCAGAGGTCAGTCCCTGGGCGGGCCACCAATCAGCAGCCGCCCCTGACCACCTGACCCGGTAGAGGTCAGCACCGGGGCAGACTGCCGATGGGCGGCCGTCCCGAGAAACGGTCACGCCGCAAATAGAAAGACGATGAAGAGTTGCTCCCTTATTATACATCGGCATCAACATAAGCAACAACAGCAACAACATCAACAGAGTAGCAGCAGGGTAAGGAGCCAGGTTACATGCATTGCGCAGTGTGCACAATGCAATTGCACACCCGATGTATGTGTGTCTGGCCATGTTTTTGCGTCCACGAATGTTACAAGTGAATAGTTGCAACATTCGACCGCACTCCATCAAGAGCAAAGTCTAGAATGTCCTAGACAGTCCATTATAATCCATATCAGCCAGCCTTCAGCCCAGTTTCAATTTCAGTCCCGATATCAATATAAAGTCTCTTAGGTTTACGTAATTGTATCGAAAACGGTTTTATGTTCTTGCGGCGAGTGACTGGAAAAAATTACTTATCATATAATCCACCTTTTATGTGGGTAGGCACTAGGCAGTAGGTACATACACATGCTTACCTACCGGCTGACATTCAGAACAAAAGCACCCAGTTGGAGCCGACGCGACGGTGCGCTTGTAAATGGGTTCATGTCTGCCGCCTCTGAGGTAGGTCAGTTCGGACCCCGGGGCGCCGCCGTTCGCCCCCAGGCCCTCCCTGAGGGGATGGGAGGTGGGGAGGACAGAGACAGGGTCGGACGGCTGTCGGAGGAGCGCCCTGTCCGGGCAGGTGTGCCGCCCTTCGCTCTGCTCCCCTCCGACAGCTATTTCTTCTGCGGCGGCGGCGGCACGCCGGAGGGGTGTCTCGGCGGCCGCCGGCGGGGGCGGCGGCGGCCGGCCGTGACGACTGGCGGCGGCGGCGGTGCCACGTGCCTCCACGTGCCGCTGTTTGTGCAGTGCCGCCGGCCCGGTGTCGGGGTCGCCGCCAGTGATGTATGGCCGCGGCCCGCCGGGACAGGCCGGATGGACTGTCTGCGGCCACCGGGCAGCCCTTTCTCAGACGAAGGGGAGCCGCAGAGGCCGCCGCACTCACCACCAACACGGGCTGTGCGCACGGAGGACAAAAGACTGAGCAATGGCAGACTCACATGGTGATGACATTAATCGCAAACCATTAATTCGACTCTCCACAAAGTCAAGTTCGTCTTCCTTTTATTGTTGACATTGTAAACATCATTCCTCCATCACCAGGTGCGACCCCAGTCGACCCAAGGATAGAAACCCTCCGGGCCACCTTGGGACTGGTGCTCGAGGCCAGTGGCAATGCGCACCTCGCCTCCGGCAGCAGCACAAAGAAGCGTCTGCTCCGACAAACAGGGCGATCCTTCGCAGGTATCTAACGCAGCAGGTGACGGCAACGGCGGCCGCCTGTGTTGATGTTACTACGCAGGGCGAGATGTACGATGGCTTGGAATCGTCTGCAGCGCCGTGCAAAACATTCGACTGGTTACCGGTGTGCGTGAGCGGCCCGCTGCAGACTGCAGACGGCACGTCCGGTCTGCTCCCGGCTGCGCCCGCCGTGAACGGACGGATGGGGTCGGCGCGGTGGTGGTATGACGATAAACAGCTACTGCCCAACAGAAGAATGGAAACTTGAAAATCTTGAAAGGCCTAACACAAAAATATATGCAAAAATATATGCATTATTTTCGGCAATCTAGGATGTAGACGAATTGACGCAAGCCATTGAGCACTGTCCTGAGGAACCTTAAAATCATTAGTGCACAGCAAGGGTTAATCTAACATCTTTAGGTAGGTACTCAACATTTCGATGCATTGCTAATGTCTTTTAAATCACATAGCTCACAGTATCAGTCAACTTCCCGTGATCCTATGCCTCCAGCTGTTCAAATCACTCATTTCGGTATATCTTAGTCACTCGTCGGGAAATTATCTAGTTTCATTTGTCTTAAAACAATTTCTCAGCCATAATTGAGGTGTCATTCGCCGAGCTCGTGTGTCATGAGTCGGTATGTTTTGCCGTCCGTTCCCCGCAGAAGGCCGTCTCATTCAACTGGTGTTTAGTCGGCCGAAACAAATGACTATGCGGCGCGGGCGCAAAAATGACGGCTGGTGCTCCGCGTAGTGGCGCCGCGCAGAGCAATTACATGCCAAATGCGTGCAATAATGAACTCATGTATGGATACAAGGGGCATACGCTTCACGCTTGCCGTTCCGGGATGTTTCTTTACAGCTTTTTGTGAAGGCTTCCGTGAAAGTTATTGTAATTACACTGATGTCATCAACGTACAATAATAGGTAAAAAGGAAATAGTTATACATGAACTGACTGGCTTTCAAATATCCTAACGTAACACTCGCCTCTTGCTCTAATCTGGCGAGCCACAGCGGTGAGAGTACCACCGCACAAACGGTCTGTCATTTCTCCCGATCCTAACAAATCTCCTGTCCTTTGACTAATCGGAGCTGAGATGACCCTCGGCCGAGGTCAGGTAAACTCTCCCCCCAGGGCCGGGCGGTGGGGTGGGTCCGGTTTCGTGTCGCTCTCCCTCTCCTTTCCGTCCATCACCTGCGCCGCAGACCGGCGGCCGCGCGCCTCAGAACCACCCCACACACACATCTCCGCCTGGAAGGGCCACCCCGCACCCAAATATACCCGACGGCGGCGGGACAGAGCAGCCGCCGCCGCCGGCGGCCAAGGCCACTGAACCGGCGGCGGCGCCGGACGCGGCGCGCGCCCCAACAGGCGGGCCGTGCCAGCCGGCGGCACGTGCCCCAAGACATGACATCTCCCCTCGGCCGGTGATGAATGAAACATCCTGCGGAGACGGTCGCGCCCTGGCCTCCCCTCGCGCCACCGCGCTGCGCACCGCTGCATGTCTTACCGCGCCGTATTTTTAGAGCTCGCGCCGCAAACGGCTCCCTTCCGGCGCGCGCGCACCAGTTGCTGAAGTTCCGCCGGCGGCGCAGCATCGGCGCCGACGCACCCTCATCGTCGCGGCCGACGCGGCGGAGGATCTCGGGACCGGTGCGGGCTCGGTGCGCGGCGGCGCGGCGGCGAGAGGGACCACCATGACACTGCGACGCCCGGGGACGCCCGAGATGAGCTGCCCTCTGCTGACAGGTGGGTGACGGTCGTGACAACCTTGTGACAGTCGTGACAGCCTTGTGACAGTTGTGACAGCCTGCCTTCAGTGGCAGCCACTGATTGACGCCTGCAGGTGACATACACAGTCCCTCCCGTGTCCGATATGAAGTGACCGACGTGGAGACGATAGCAAAGTTATGTTTATATTCGACAGTTCACTTACGTTATAACGTTTACTGTTGAAAGAAGGCCTATAAGAAGTGAGAGTTAGACCGAAGTAGGAGAGCAGTTGCTCCATTTTGTTGTCATGGTAGTAATAATTTTAAAGTGTCGCTTGTCTTGTCTCTAAAGTCTAAGAAAGTGCTTGCTTTCTTTCCTGCTGTATCGATACACCAACTCGATGCATCATGCACTGTTCGACAGGAGTAACATTCAGCTCACGTCATCATCATATTGATACATTGAACCATATCAAATTACTCGAATTAAGAAATTCCGCGAAATGATGCTCTTCTTTTACAAAACGCCGACCGTTCGTATCATCTAAATGCAACAAAATTGTACTTTAATGAGATCAACCGAGCTCTGATGACGTAATAATGACGCACAATTGCTATATCTTTCCGAGACTGACTGGGCATGCAGACCAGGATGCTGGACACACACGTGGCGCATGAGGCGCACGCGCGGCTAACATTCGGCCACGGCCCGGAGTTTCCTGGAAAAGATAGCGCCCCGCTCTTGGATCTGGTTCCGGCTGAAATACACCGTTTATATAACATGACCCATGACGAATCATTAAAGCATTTTGATTTGCGTCTGCTGAAGATAGCTGACGAGCAAGTCACCAATTAAGCAAGGTTGTTAGGCTATGATTCATCGCCGGTTGTCTGATGATCGATTCGGTCTGATGATCGAAGTCCGTGAGCGGTGAGCTCATGGAAATGTGTATGGTAAACTAAGAGAAAAAGTCACTGGCATGGGCAGGTCATACTCCACTTACTTCATCCCCTGCGGGCCAGGGGGGGGGGGGTGATTTTCTCTTCCTCCTGATGAATATTTGCGATAGCTCGCGAATGAGTATATACATAGGAGCGCACAACTTTCAGTACCTATACCCTTACCGTCATCATTTTATCATCTACACCAAAAGAAGTTGGACCTAGCCCCCTCACAAAGTCACAAGGCCGATCTTTTTTTCTTGACCATGTAAGGCAAATTTCAACGTCTCAGTCATAAACTTCAGACAGCTGCCAGCCCACTCGCCACACAGTAACATCCGTGATGGCCCTAGACTGAGCACATAAATTTGGTCAAAACAAATAAAAAGCATTGACATTATTGACAAGAAATTCAACTGAAGCCAAAACCAGTGACGGATCCAGACATAAATGGCATATCCTTTCGAAACCTCTAGCCAAACAAGATCTTTTGTGGAGGACAAAATGAGCATTTGCCCTCCCCAAAGCTGCATTTTGTGGGCAAGACTATCCTTTTGCCCTTCCCAATGATGACAAAATTTAATGCAGCGTCGATGCCTATCTGGACGAAAGCAGGACTTCCCGTGAAGGTTAGTCTATAGGAAGAAGCTGACTGCCCTCTATGTACTTATGCTTTGGTATGGTATGGTATGGTATTTGTGGCTTACGGGCCACCACAGCGTCCTGTATTTGGGCCCGGTTCTGTCTTGGATCGGTATGCTGATAAATGGGACTCTCCGAACTGGATGCATGCTGGTGTAGTGTGGCGTTGTATGTAAAGTCGCTTGGTCACCAGTACGGCGGTGGGTCGGGGTCGCCGAATAGGTCGGAAGCCTCCCCAAACGAATCGGCTGGATCCGCCTCTGGCCAAACCCTACATTATTTTTCTATTGTCGAAACTCGAAATTACAGATAGCTATAATGAGCTTAAACTTTGGCGGCATTTTTTTTTTTAGAAAGATAGGCTCTTCTTATGATTTAATATATTATGCTCTTGTTCTCGACCGTTCTAATTTATTCAAAACATTCAAGTCGTGCTGATGGGCGACCTCGCCGCTACTGCTTGCGTCACTTCAACTCATAGGCGGCGGAACGGGGAGGGCACCGGGGCACCGTGCCCCCTATGGTATTTTAACATTAACATTATTTTAACCCTAGAACGCCTAGGGGGGGTTGTATCAACCCCCCCCCTGAGGTTTTTTCGAAGTGCACGCTAAACGGCTTGTCGTAGCGGGCTGAAATTTTCAATACCCTCTGGGGCAACCTTTGCGCATCTTTTGCCGAAAAAAAATTGATCGGGTCATGTCAGGTCACGGAGTTATGACGTCATAAGAGGTACAGCCTCCGGCCGACAGTTACCAAACGTGTGCGCCGAATCCCCAGGTTTTCTGCCGATGATACCCACATTGTTTGATGGATCATGATGAAACTTCCCATGCATGTTGGGGCAAGCATTGGCTATCGTGTGGTGCAAGAAAATTGACCGGATCAGGTCAGGTCACGGAGTTATGACGTCATAAGAGGAACAGCGTCCGGTACTATTTTTGAAAAGCGCCCAAACCACTATTTTGCTAATTCTTGTCACCTCAATGGGAATATGCAGCAATATTAGCTTCTATAAGGAGCAAATGGACCTTCCAAATCCAAAAATACAATGAGATTTCAAAAATTTAAATTTTGATTTTTCGAATTTCTGCCGCCGACTGTGACCTTGCCGACTTCCGGCGCTCCCAACGCGCCATTTTTAGAGCTAGGGAAACGAAATACATACCAAACGATAGAGAATGGATCAAGGAACACGATAGTGAAGGTTTCAAGTCGATATCTCCCACCGTTTTGCCGCAATCGCCGCGGAAAGTTGAAAAAAGTCTTTTTTCCGAAAATTTGACCTTTGACCGGTCAAAAGTAGGTCAAATGTTGACCTAGGACCAAAAAATATACCACCAATCGCGAGATCTCGTTGAGAGCAATCCGTTGGTTTTTTCCGCTAAGCTCTACGACCTTCCGTTTCGAAACGCCAGGGGGGGTCGTAACAACCCCCCCCCCCCTGGTCGTTCGTGTTATGAGAAATGGCCTGGTCGTGCGAGGGTTAACATTGGTGGTATTTTGGCATTTTAACATTATCCCTATGGGCGTTGCATGGAAAGAATGGGACCAAAAGTCGGCAGTGCCCCCTTTGATTGAAGGTGTTCCGCCGCTACTGCTTCAACTTAGTCCCGCGTCTCCCACTGGCTGAGGCCGACACAAAAGAGAAGTCAGATGGGCCGATAGGCCATTACCGCGTGACGCCACGCCCCTCCCCCTCTACCTGCCGGCCACCAAATGTGTTTCGTCTGCGCCAGAGGCGTCCGCAAAACACCCCACCACCAAAAACGCCTCCAGGTGGCAGCAGGTCGACAAATAGCCGCACGTCACAGAGCGCCATTTATGCCGGCGCGCCGTTTTTCGCCGCCGACGCGTCACGAGCGTCGTCGCCGACAAAGGGACAGGTAGGTCGACGGTGGGGGCGCCAGCGCCGCGCCAAGATCGGCGCACAATGGCTGCTGGCCGGCGACAGAGACGCGTCGATGATAAACATTCTTACCTGGCGGGGGCCGCAAGAAAAACGGCACGGGTTGAAAAAGTGCTCGCGCCAGAGAAAAAGCTCGCGCGGCTCTGAGCGCCGCCGGCTAAGCTAATGGTCTCGATACGGACAGCCTAATGGTCTCACTCGACAGTGAGCCGTAGGGCCACGGAACAGGGCAGCGCGAGGCCGGCCGCTGACGGTGTCTGGAGGGTGCAGGGTAGCCGGCAGGTAGCCGGCTGTCCCGCTTCATCCAGTGGAAGTGGCTGGGGAGTGGAGAAGTAGCCGTTTAGTGAGTAGACACTGGCGGCTGTGGCTGCAAAACATGACCCATTATGCGCCCTCTGAGCTGCCGGGCTGTCGGTGGGCCCGCGCGCGAACACTGCCGGTTGTCTGGAGTCCATCAGACGGCTGACGGACACACAGACAGACGCCATTTCCGTCAGTTCCATTTGGAGCGAGCCGCCGGCGCCGTCTCGCCAACACAGTGCTGAGACGGCGATGGAACGCACTCCCTCGACGGTGGCGAACCGCCTTTGTTGTGCCCCGAGCAGGGGTGTCGTTTTCCGAAAATGATTGGTAGTGCCCAAAGGCGGCGGCTGGCCATATATGACGGGGCTTACAAGGTAGGGTACCCCCAAATCTGCCTTTCTCATCGGATTTCGGCCACTTATTTTTCGCCCTGGTCATTGACAAGACTAACCGAAATCTAAAAAAAAAAACACACAAAAAAAAACTTTGGAAGCTGGGTCCACACCGGACGCCATGCACAAAACGTGCAGTTATATAGGCAATAGTGTCGGAGGAATGCACGCCATTCTGAAAGAGGCCCACATCGACTTAAAGGGACCCTCCCACCTTCAAAAAAGTTTATGAATTGGCATGAAAGTGATGTCGCTCGGTTCAGAAAGAGCGAAAACGAATATCTACCAAATTTCACCGAAAAATATTCACCGGTTTCAAGATATTAGACTTTTACTTTTGTTTAATTTTTTGGGATCTCCGCTGTTTCTAGCGATTTTATTTTAGAAGTGCGGCGTTTGCGGCAGATGTTGCGCGCAAATAGCATATACCACCGCGTGCTACAAAACGTTTTAGTCAAACATTTAAAATCGTTAGATATTTGCGCTGACGTCACACATTCAGAGGGGTATTCCTAAGCATTAGCCCCTCTGAATCAAAATGCTGCAATTTTGAAATTCAATATTTCCGATTTAAGGCATTTCTCGATGTTGTGAGTGCCGAAACCGGTAATTGTGAGCCAGGGACCCCATTTTGGCTATCTCAACTCAAATCTAATGTTAAGGTGGGAGGGTCCCTTTAAAAGGACGGCTGTGCTGAAAGGGGACAGGAGCAGCTTTGAGGGCCCAAGCCGACTAAAAAAGACGGCTGCGGGGCCAGGAACGGTTTTGAAGACCCACGCCAATTGAAGGGTTCGACAACTACAACGATAGTTAGAAAGACCTGCTTGCCAAAATAAAAGGATGACAGTA